GGCCTTTGTTATTCGAGAAAAAAATGGTATAATAAAAAGACCAAAAAGATGACAAAAGCATGTTTCCACTATCATTAGTCTCGCATTAGTAAACATGCGCTCATCTCTATTAATTGAAGTTGGCACAATCTCATGCTATCACTAATATATCTATTTCATTTTGGCAGCTCAATCCATATCTTTAGTCTCCTCTCTATTGTAAAAAGACTTGAGCCAAGAAATGGCCATTCTAGGAAATAGACCAAGTATCAGGGGTCTAATGGGAAAATACACTAGTATGAAATGAAACCGAAAGCCGACGAGAGGGGACGGGAGGGGCTAGAGCATTAAAAATATCCCTCCATTAACTCTCCAACTCCTCTTCCTCTGCCTCTTCATTTCCAATTCCGGCTTCTTCCTCGCATCACAAAATTCCTATTGCGGCGCAGTCTTGGATTGCTTGCTCCAGGCCGCAAATGATCATCATCAGCGGCAGCAACTTCCCAACGGATTCGTGATCCTCCCGCGATGGTACGGCGATTCCTTGTTCTCCTCAGTTCTTTTTTTCCTCGCCGAATCTTCCATACCATTTCTCCAGCGTTTTAGCTTTCTCTGATAGACTAATCGATAGGATTTGGATTGAGGGATGATTTTTTTTCTGAGGACGAAGAAGGCTTAACGGCCTCCCCTCAGTTTTCTCGGCTCTGCTGTTTCCGCTGCTGGTTTCTCGTTTCTTTCAGTTTGTTCAGTTCAGGAGCTCGAGAATCGGAATTCTGCAAGGTTTCTGAGCACGTGTTGAATTTTCTTGTAAGAATTTCTTGCTATAATCCATTGTCCGATTGCGTTTTAAAAGTGATTAGTCGGCTGAAATTTATTCGATTCGCTTCTTCAGCATGTTTGTTCCGATACTGTTGTATCACTGATTCGGTAAAGGAGTTCACTGAATTCCATTCAAAGAATGATTTTTTGCGATCCCCAGGAGAAAACTAAATCGTGCTTCTATCACCTTTTGATGTATATAACTCGTATCTAGAATTCTCCGTTTGTTCTTCTCCGTTGACAAATTTGGTAGGTACTACGAGAAGTTTTTCAACAGTCCCCAGATAAATGTTCTGGTACTTGCTGCCTTTGGAGGTGGAAGTTCAATGAAACAGAAACCAGTTTCCTTCTTTAATTCGACTAGTAACTGGGAATTCAGTTAGCCCTGATATTCCTGCATATGGGGGTGCCTCATGTTCAGGTTTGAATTCTGTGGTTGATTCCTCGTATTTGCAATCGCCGTTTTTCACCGCGCGGTGATCCCTTGAAATTTTACCACTTCCATTTCATAATCCTACTCTCTTTTTTTTTTGCCACGAAACAATCGTTGACAGTTACATGTACTTTATCAGTTAGTTCGTGTCCAGTGGAGAACTAATTGCCTTCCTTTACACGTGCTTTATCAGTTAGTTCGGCTGGTATTAAAGCCTGCTGAAGCTGTTTTGTTGTGAGAGAAAAATATTATAGATTCTAGCTGATAAGCCGGTTGATAAGTTCAAGCGAACAGACGTGTCAGTCTGTCACAACCTGACACAGTTTGTTTCTACACATTGAAAAGAAAATGTTTTTTTAGCAGATGAGACCTATGTAAAACCCTAATTCTCTTTGAAAATTGAGTCAGGCACGCAGTGTCTTTCGGATGCTTTGCTCCTCTGGTCTCTGAATACAGCTCGTGCAGCATGCTGGGGTTTCTGATCTTTTAACCACAGCGAGTTTCTTTGCGTGGAGGTCACACTTGCAGTTGCAGTAGATTTCAGGGCGAGTTTTAGTATAGCTTACCTTCCAGGACTGGGTTTTCTTCCCTGGAATAGACTTTGGCTTCTCCTTCTCCTTCCTAAACAGATTTCCTCCACCAGAGTCCAGAAGTACTTGCTTTCTGGTCAAGTCTAGTTTCAGTAGTTGAGAATTCAGACATGTTGAATCTTGACGCCATGCCATTGCAACTACACGTATGATGTCCTCGCTCATTGTTCCTTCTGACGGCCCGCCGCAGGGTCCCATCTCCAACGATGCGTGGCAGAAGCGGTTCTTCAGCGTCGCGCCGACGGCGGCGCTGGTCTTCTTCTTCGTGCTGATATTCGTCGCCGGTGCAATTGTCACGCTTGATCATAAGGAGGTGCGTTGTGACTTGTGACATCTAGGCAATGTTTTCTTGGGTTGGATGTCTGCAGCTGGTGTGGTCTCTGAATTCTGAAAGTTGTTCATTCCTGCGCAACTTGTTTCTGCAGAGTCTGTCCATATTGCAGTTGCAACCAAAAGGAGTGATTGCAGCAGTGGAGATGAGTCATCCGGCGACTAGCGAGCTGAGGCCTTCAGTGACGAGCGAGCTGCGCGCTGAGCCAGCAGAGGAACCCGATATCTGTGAGGTCAAAGATGGTCTCTTTGTTGCCATGTTATCCATGAGAAATTGACAGCTGATGAGAGTTTTACAACAGCAGTTACTGAAAATTCCTTGTGCTGAAAACTCTTCTTCAGAATAAATGTAGACCTCCAGGCAGCGAGCCCTTGCCGAGGGGCATCGTGCAGGACAAGTCCAACTTCGAGACGGAGTCGCTGGGTGGCAACCCTGAACGGAAGGAGAACGGCAACGGCAGGCAGTCGAAAAGCCTCCTCGCCATCCCCGTCGGCATCAAGCAGAAGGCGGTCGTCGACAAGCTCGTCTCCAAGGTAGGTACCAGGGCCAGGGCCTTCCATTGTTCAGTTTATGCATGCTCGTCAGATATAGTAGAAAGGTTAGCAGCGTGCCTGCATGCCATCGTGACGCACAGACGACCTGACTGATCAGTGATCACCGTGCTGTATGTATGTTGCTCTCGTGTCGTCAGTTCCCGGAGGCCAAGTTCACCGTGATGCTGTTCCACTACGACGGCGAGGTGGACGGGTGGCGAGACCTCGAGTGGTCGGGCCGCGCGATCCACGTCGCCGTGCGCGACCAGACCAAGTGGTGGTTCGCCAAGAGGTTCCTGCACCCGGACTTGGTGGTGGACTACGACTACGTCTTCCTCTGGGATGAGGACATCGAGGTGGACAGCTTCGACCCGCTCAGGTACCTGCGGATCGTGAGGAAGGAAGGGCTCGAGATCTCGCAGCCGGCGCTGGACCGCCGGTCGCAGATCCACCACCGGCTCACAGCGCGCGCGCGGAGCGGCGACGTCCACCGGCGGTACTACAAGACGAACGGGCACGGCAGGTGCTACGGCAACAGCACGGGCCCGCCGTGCACGGGGTGGGTGGAGATGATGGTGCCCGTGTTCTCTCGCGCGGCGTGGCGGTGCGCGTGGCACATGATCCAGAACGACCTCGTCTACGCCTGGGGCATGGACTACAAGCTCGGCTACTGCGCGCAGGGCGACCGGAGCCGCAACGTCGGCGTCGTCGACAGCCAGTACGTGCTCCACCGGGGCATCCCCACGCTCGGCGACGGCGGCAAGGCGACGGTGTCGGCTTCCGCGTCGTCGGCGTTGGGGACAGACCGGTTAGCGGTGAGACAGCGGTCCTACACCGAGCTGCAGGTGTTCAACAGGAGGTGGAAGAAGGCCGTGGCGGAGGACGGGTGCTGGACCGACCCTTACCTGAACTCGGCGGCGACCACCGGCTGACCGTTGGACGGGACGAGGCAGTGCAGGGAAGTACAGTAGTTGGTAGCTGTCAGGTTGACCTTGCCCAGATCGAAGATGGTAGTAGATCATACACCGCATTAGTTTACAGGTTCAGAGAGCTCTATATATGATGTACAGATTGTTTTTCCCCGTTCTTGCCTGTGGTCTATACAAGGGAATAAGCATGCATGGGTAAAGAAATTTGATGTAACCTTTTTTTTTTTTTTAAAGTTCTTGCGTGGGCATCCACTACCATCCCCCTGAAAGACCATCAAAACATGAACATCTAATGAAAATCACAAGAAATGGTCAGGAATCAAACAAAAACAAGGCCATAAAACCTAACCTTGCGATCTGAATACTTGTAGAAGATGTGGTCATAGTTGGGACTGTCTTGCTTCTTAACCTTGAACTCCGATGCTGCCTACACTCGTTGCGCACAATCAAAGAGGGAGTTCTTACCATGTCGTTTGACGTTTTGAACCATGAGTGATAAATATTGTGTTATCATTGCGGGGTTAGAAAACCGATTATCCTCTACTGGATGCAATTCTTGCAGTGATGGGAGGTTCCGACCCGACATTGATGGAGGGTTCCAATCCAGTAGTGATTGCTTGTTCTGGCATAGTGAATCCACATTCTGGTAATGTGTATTAAAAAAATCAGACACTCAAATTTTTTTTGAAATCTATCACATCAATAGTGCTCCAAATATGTACTCATACAAAAGTTGAGATACAAACTGGTTTTGAAAAATCATATAAAGATGACAAATTTGAGGTGCATGTACACCTAGAAGGCAAATTTCGTAAGGATTTTTTTGTCATTTTTGTATGAATTTCTCTAGTTTGAGTTTACATCTCAATTTTTGTATGTGGGTACATGTTTTTATGCACTATGGATGTCTCAAGTTCAAAAAACAGGGGCAACCGAAATGCGTTTTTTTTTATTTTGAATTTCCATCCACCAAAGACGTACACAGTTTCCAATACATATTTTGCCTATCCATAAATAAATAAAGTACTACAAATCTATAATCAGGTGTTTTCTTAACCTTTAATTTGTACTCTGTTTCTACGGCTTAGATTATAGGTTTTCAAATCAAAAAGAAAATCTTAGGACCGACCTTGGTAGATGGATGGATCATGTCTTGAGTCCGGACTCCGGACGACATGTGAAAATTAAAACAGCCCAAACGACTGGGAGAAACGAGAGTCGAACACGTGCTGTTGGGGGAGTCTGGAATTCTGGATCGGATGCGAACCGGCAACGGCACCGCCACGCCACCGGACTTGCTAGTGCTAGTTCATCATATATATGCCGTCGCACGTACAACTCCATGCGTCGAGTCCGGGCGTCAGTAATCTTGTCAAGTCGTTCACTATGCCTAGACCAGATTCCTTCTCCATCACCCTTTTCCCCGTCCCCGTGAAAGGTGAGACCAAGCAACCAAGACGACCACCACCACCTACTAATAATCGCCGCCGGAGTGCTTCACGTGTGCTGCAGCTTCTCACCGGCCACCGCCCCTCTGAGATTCTGGACAGGACGGCTCTCAACATCATCGACTACGCATACACGGCGCTGCTCGAGATCGCGCCGCCCGAGGGCAGCCAGAGCGTCGTCGAGGTCAGCGCGCCCGTCGACCCCGCCGACCCATACTCGCCTCTGGTCCACGTCGACGCCAGCTCCACGCACTGCCGCATCCGCCTGCCCTACAGCCGCTGCGCCCTCGCAGGAGGACCAGACGACGGGCGTACGTGCGTCGAGCAGATCAAGAATAATCACCCGGGTCCCTCTCCCTCCTGCGCAACTCTCAGCGTCTCGCCGGCGGCGGTCCACCTGCTGGCACGCGTCGTCGGCGCCGGGGACCGGAAAGTCCGATGGAGGTTCGTGGACACCCGAACGGACGCGTCGTCCGAGGGACTGCTCACGGTGCTGCGGACGATCGGGTCGCTCCTGGAGGAAGCGATCTCGCGGGAGACCACGCTGCTTGAGATGGTGAGAGCGAGCGGCTTTGGCAGGAGCCCCAAGGTGGACGGGATCGTCACGGTGCGCACGGCTTTGGAGGAGATGAGAGGGGTGCTGGACGTCGACGCGATGATCACGCACAGGAGGCGCCAGAAGCGCTGCCGCCGTGTCCGAGAGATCAACTGTCCGCCGGCGGCCGAGATGGCGGCGGATGCAGAGATGCTGACGGATAGGATGAGAACACTACACGTGGATGAGGTGCAAGATGATGCAGAGGTGCTGGCCAAGAGGCTGAGGACGCAATCCGTATGACATGCATGCCAGGCAAGGTCGATCGCTGTAGTCTGCAAAGTTTTGGAGATGAAGCCATGGACACGAACAGAGGACCAAGCCGCCAGGCACAGATGAAACTGCAAAACCCAAGCCAATCTGCACATCTGCAAAAGCCTTGGCTTGTCATTGTAAGAGTAGAGAGTAGAGGTGCTAATAGCTAAATTGCTAATTCTGACAGAACGCTGCTGCACTTGAGGAACATTATGTTCCCATGCACAGCACGAAAATCTTCCCCTGTGTGTATATATCTCCTTTAAACTGCATCGTTCATGCTTGATGTTGGGTATCTCTCCATTCTTGAGATGTTTTCTCCTATTGAAATTTATGTAGTCGTCGTCCAATCGATCATCCTAGCTACCTTCGGTTTGTGTTCAGTGGAGATTTGATGCTATGATTTTGGCAACAGGTAGCCGACTTTAATTTGGCTCTATTCAAAACACACCGGAACTTTCTGATATATATGCTGGAGTTTGATTCTTTATCATGAAATTCCTGTCACATTACGTTGTTCAAATCTCAATATACGCTTACATATGGCTGCTTTAGAGAATTGGAGACTGGCTTGCTTCCAAGGTCTCCGGAATCCGGATGAAGAACAGCATAGAAACTAGGTTATTTTCTGTACTATTAGCTATTACTAGAGATGCTGTGCTTTCAGTTCAGGAGAATTTCAGTGGTAATTAGTTACTAGAGTGGTACAAGAAGTTTCAGAGATTGGGGATAAATGGTGATACGTGTATATATATACAAGAAAAATATTTCTAGTGATTACAATTTGGTTCCTTATGCTGATTTGTTGCCTTTACAAACTGAATATCAATGGAGGAACTGAACCTATCCTATGCTCAGTTGTTGCCTTTATAAACTAAACCTGTAAACAATACTTATTGGGAGTCTGTAGCATTTCAGGATTTCATCTTTTAAGCGATTGTCATCTACTCAGCATGCCTAGTTGTAATCAGTCTGTACAAGAATGAATCATGTAATTAGTACTATTAGCATTTCACCTTTTTTTTTCTCAGACTAAAAGCATTCAGAACTATCACTTGTGGAAAACTTCAGCCGATGAAATTCTTATTGCATGGTAAAACTACAGAAAGTTTGTTTTTCATACAACGAAAGTGCCTTCCCCTTTTGCAAAATTTTCAATTACAACAGTAATCTTTCCCTATGTTATTTTGGAACTGAAAAATTGTGGATGCTAGAGCAAATTGGAACCACCAGATGAACCTTTATCTAATTGGACTCTTAGAACAACATGATTTACCTAGATTTCGGACACACAGTGCAAGGAGCAAGGAGGCATGGACTAGTATGGTTGGTCAATTCAATTCAAGGTTTACTTTAGCCTTCACCGTTGCTCAAGTAAAACAAAAGGAATAGGCTGGATTTGAAGTAACAGTATCGGATTATAAAGAATTTGAGAGAAGAAAGTGATTTTGGCTGGGATTCCAGTAGGATGATGGTGACAGCACCAGAGAGTGTTTGGAAGGGACTAGGGAAACGTAGAAACAAAGACGCTCTTCTTCGATGGCGAGATAAATCATTTCCATAATTCGATGACTTAGACTCTTTATATATATGATGGTGAGTTTCAGTTCATGGACCATGCTCTCTATATTTATCTATACACATTGTTGTACTCATAATTTTTTTTTAAATATTGCGTACATAATTTATGCAGGTCGTTATGCCGAAGGAAGAAGTTGCCATGGAATGGACCATGCGAGCAAGGCAAAAGTATGTTCAGAAGTTCCTGCATTGCATTCACTGCCACTGCAATGTACCTGATGCTGATGGTGCATCAGCCTTGCATTTTGATGTCGAGGGGACTAGGGATGATACTCTAATTGGTTTGGTGATGATGAATTCAGTCCTTCATCAAGTAAAAGACTTTACTTTTAATGCATCACCAGAAGAAGCACATCCACCAAATTCCTCAAATTTAGAGACATTTGTTCCAGAACAGTTCCTAGAAACTCAACGTCACACTTCCTGGCCATCTAGCAGTTCAACTCCAGAGTCGGTTGATGCTAGGCGAGCCAAAAAAACAGAAAACCAGCCAGACTAAAATCACTAGATCAACTAATGATTTCCAGGAGAGGTACCTAATGCTCAAAAAGAAAGATATTGAGTGATTTGCAACTATAGAAGAGAATAAAATGGAAGATCCTTACAACATCAAGAAGTGTGTCACAGCTCTCGAGGGATTGCCTGATCTACAAATGGAAGAGAGATGATAAAGGCAGCGGACATGGATGGATGGTGTGTTTACTCTCCAAAGGTATGCAGCAATGGCTAGAAAGAGGCAAGCAAGCAGCGGCTAGTAGAGAGTAGATTGTACTTACAAGCTGATTTTTTCAATCAAGCAGCGGCTACAAAGAGTCAGACAAGCCCAAAATTTCATTCCTCCTCTTACTGGTAATGCTCTGTGTAGCCGTGTAGGAAATCTATTCGTCCGGACGCCTCTTCCTAGATCTGTGGACCAGCCCAATAGACCTGCTCCCCTCACAGTTTCTCCATGTAAAAAAAAATAGACACATTCCTCTTCCTCCTCGCTTGTTGCGGCGTTCTCCACCACGCCATTCGACCGTCGTGTTCGATTCCACCACGCCGCTCGTCGGCCGTTCGCCTTCTCTAGCGGGGCCACTCGCCGCTTACAGCGCAACCACTCACCGCGGACAGCGCAGCCGCCTCCACAGGGGGGCGCCTTGCCGCGGGGGACCGCACCCGCCCGCCCCTATCGTTGCTGACCGCTTACCACGGGCAATGCACCCGCCCGCCCACTAGCATCCCCACGCGCCACTCGGCGGCATCGAACACCGCGTCGACGAGCCTCCATTCATTCAAGCAGCAAGTAGATGTTACGCTAAAAGCGCACATTACAAGCGTATGTGTTCAAGTGTTTCAGATGTTTTAAAGGTATGTTGCAAGTGTTTCATATGGATGTTGCAAAAATAGATCCGGATGTTGCATATGTGTATGTTGCAAGCGTTTGTTCCAAATATGTTTCATCTATTTTTAGACTTATGCTGTTGCAAGTGTTTTATCTGGTTGTTGCATATGTTTGCAGTGACTTTAAATTGTTTTTGCAAGTGTTTCGGCAGTTCTGGACGTATGTTACAAAAATAAATCTAGTGTTGCACAGGTTGTAATGGGACCTATCTGCCATAGCCGCTCATTGCAGCTGTTGGGGCTCCGTCGAGCGGGCGCAAGCGGTCCCGCGTGTGGTAGAACGACGCGAGCGACGTCCAGACGGTGCGAGCCCCCGCCGCGGGAAACAAGGTGCAGCAATTCCCCCTATTTTACGTTCTTGTGTTGACCCAAAGTGTTGAGTATTACCAGAGTGACCGAGAGCGGGGAGCACTCCATGGAACACGGCATAAATGCCGATTATATCATACTACATTTGTTTAATCGCAATCATATTCATCTTGATCACAGTCGGATGAAAGAGAGGTTATATCGTTTCAAAAAAAAGAAAAAAGAGAAAAAAGTTTTCTGACTCCTGGGCCACACGTCTCAGTGTCGGTAAACATGGACGGAATCACGGGAGAACGCGTTAACAGCGTCGAGTCTAACGGCCACCAACCAACAAACCAGCAGACCAAAACAGATGGTCCGACGTCTCCGTGTCCACTCCGTCACTGGTTCCTTCTCGGGAGCTCCGCTCTCCTCCGTTTCTCAGGTCCGGCTCGCCTTCCGTTCCATGTTCGCGTTGGACTCTTGCGTGGCGGGCTCCTGGAAATTGCGTGGCGGACTTCTCTCGCACGGAACGGAACCGCCATGGGCCCACGACGCGGTGATTCCTTCTCCACCAACATAAATAGCCACCCCTCACCTCCTTCCCCAATCTCATCTCGTCTTGTGTTGTTCGGAGCAAGGAGCACATAGCCCCATCCCAATCCCAATCGATCTTCTTCTCATGAGCCTCGTCAATCCATCCCCCGCTTCAAGGTACGGCGATTCTCCTCTCCTCCCCCTCTCATCTTCTCTGTGCTTAGTACTCCCCTTCCCATCTAGATTGGCGAGTACTCCCCTTCCCATCTAGATTGCGAGTTTCTGTTCGTAGATGGCTGGCTTGTAAGCGGTTCATAGGTTGGATTGTTCTCATGATTTCTTTGGCTGCTGCGTAGGGATAGATCTGGTCGTGCTTTTCCATATTCTTGGTGTAGGTTTTGTGACCTGGTTCTATGTTCCTCGATAGATTTGTGCGCATGATTTGTCCGATTGACTTTGTCCCAAGTCTGGTTGAGTTTTAGCTCTAGATTAGACTAGAAATAGTTGTCTCAAATTTGATTTGTACCTGCGTGTCACCAAATATGTTCATAATTACGGTGATGGAGTCAATATGCTCTTTTCTGTTACTTGTTCAGACCGTAGCTTTTACCTAACGAGCCATATTATCATGTTGATTCATTTCATATGCATGCCTAGATAGATGGAAATTATATGCTGGTACTGAGCGTTATTATCATGCTTAGTCGTTTCATATGCATGTCTAGATGGAAGTTATATGTTGTTGCTGAGCGTTATTATCATGTTGATTCGTATCATATGCATGCCTAGATAGATCAAGATACATGGATGTTGACTCGTTTCATATGCATGCCTAGCTAGATGGAAGGTTATATCCTGCTACTGAGCATTATTACATGTTGATTCGTTTCATATGCATGCCTAGATAGATGAAGATATATGCTGCTACTAATGATTACTTGTTATCTACTTGGTGCCCATGCATGCTCTTTTATTTACTTGGATGGTGACATGTTGCTGCAGTTTTGCTGGTTCTATTATGTGATTAGCATGCATATCTGTTTCTTGTTGTTGACTGTCTACTGCTGTATATTTATTCATGTTGCTTGTTTTTTCTTCTACAGATGCAGATCTTTGTTAAGACCCTCACCGGCAAGACCATCACCCTTGAGGTGGAGTCTTTTGACACCATTGACAACGTCAAGGCTAAGATTCAGGACAAGGAGGGCATCCCCCCAGACCAGCAGCGGCTCATCTTTGCCGGCAAGCAGCTCGAGGACGGGCGCACGCTTGCTAACTACAACATCCAGAAGGAGAGCACCCTCCACTTGGTGCTCCGCGCTTAGGGGAGGCATGCAGATCTTCATCAAGACCTTGACTGGCAAGACCATCACCCTTGAGGTTGAGTCATCTGACACCATCGACAATGTCAAGGCCAAGATCCAGGACAAGGAGGGTATCCCCGGACCAGCAGAGGCTTATCTTCGCTGGTAAGCAGCTTGAGGATGGTCGCACGCTTGCTGACTACAACATCCAAAAGGAGAGCACCCTCCATCAGGTGCTTCGCCTTAGGGGAGGTATGCAGATTTTTGTGAAGACTTTGACTGGCAAGACCATTACCCTTGAGGTGGAGTCCTCGGATACCATCGACAACGTCAAGGCTAAGATCCAGGATAAGGAGGGCATTCCCCCCAGACCAGCAATGTTTGATCTTTGCCGGCAAGCAGCTGGAGGATAGCATGACCCTTGTTGATTACAACATTCAGAAGGAATCCACCCTTCACCTTGTCCTCCGCCTTAGGGGAGGCATGCAGATCTTCGTGAAGACCCTCACCGGCAAGACCATCACCCTTGAGGTGGAGTCCTCGGACACCATCGACAATGTCAAGGCCAAGATCCAGGACAAGGAGGGCATTCCCCTGGACCAGCAGCGTCTGATCTTCACCAGCAAGCAACTGGAGGATGGCCACACCCTCGCTGACTACAATATCTAGAAAGAGAGCACCCTCCACCTGGTGCTTCGTCTCCGTGGTGGTCAGTAAGCCATTGGTCGTCGAAGCTGCTGTTGTGTACCTGCGTCGTCTTTGTGTCTCTGGTCTCTGCCATGGAGGGTGTCCCCTTTGAAGTATTTGTGGTTTGTGTCTTGTAATCGAGTTCAATTTCATGGACGGGTTGTGTCTCAAAAGTGTTTTACCAAGAACGGTTGTTGGTGCAGCAGTATGCTTATAATTATAAATAAGTGATGTTTAAACTTAAATCTGTGTGCTTGGTTTGGTTTGCATTTCTTCTGGTTTCTATTATGTGAATGTTGCCTGAGACCTTTCATTAAAGGTTCACCACAGGTTCTGGCAATATATTTCAAGTTCTGATTGAATGCATGTAAGACTTTTCAGGTTTATCAATATTGAATGCTTTAATGCTTGCAAGAGTTTTCTTATGATGATGACTGTATATCGTTGAAAGAGTTTCAGGTACGATTGTTTCCGTTGAGCACTTCACATCTAGGTTTTTGACTTTATGCTTGCAATAGTTTTCAGGTTCGAATGTTCAATAAGTTATTTCCATCCTAAATTATAGTTCCCAAAATTATACTAAGGTCCCACGTTGTGATTTACAAACTACTCCTACTCTCTCATTCCTACAAAAAAATGTAATTTTAGCACAATGCATATTTTAGTTTTTTTTAAGTTTGACTAATTATAAATAAAAAATAAAATGCCAACATTTATAATATCAAATAAATATCATTAGATTAATTATGAAATATATTATCCTAATAAATTAATTTGGAGTTATAAATGTGAATATTAATCGCTAGAAACTTAGTCAAATGTAAACCACTTTAGCTAGCACGCAATCCGTGATTGTATTCTTTAGGGACAAATGTAGTATTAACTTCGACGAAGGTTTCAAAAAAAAAAGATTTTCAAGTTTACAAGTTCAAATAAATTCACTTAAGAAGGGAAAAAGTCCATGTTACTTCACTCAACTTTCGCGAAAGTCCGTTTTTCTCTCCAAACTCTAAAACCGAACAAAACACATCCCTCAACTTTTAAAACCGTTTATCTTACCTCCCTAGCCCTGTTATAAGCGGTTTTGAAGCAGTTTTGTCTTTTTCTTTTTTTTTTTATTTTGGCCGAATCTTTGAAAAATCATAGTAAATCACAAAAAAAAATATAAAATGGAAATTCTAATTTTGTTGGACTCCACATAAGTAGATCTACACAGTGAACATATAATATGGTATGCTTTAGTACAAAGTTTTTATTGTGGCTTTGGATCTATACTTTTCTGTAATTAAATGAAATAATTCATAGCTGCGGTTCTATAATCCAATTATGGTGATTTTTTTATAGTGAGCTAATTTTGTATGCTTAAACTGTAGTAGAAATTTCATACTTATTGGATCATGGATAACTTAGTTATAGATTTTATTTAGGTTTATGCTTGTTAAATATAAATAAATCTATAACTAACCTATACATGATTCAATGAGTATAAAATTTTTACTATAGTTTAAACATACAATAATTAGCCTATCATAAAATTTTTATCACAATTGGACCATAGAACTGTAGTTATAAATTATTCTAATTAATTACATAAAAGCATAGATCTAAAGCCACAACAAAACTTTATACTAAAACATACCATATTATATGTTCACTATGTAGATCTACTCATGTGGAGTCCAACAAATTTAGATTTTTCATTTTATGATTTTTCTGTGATTTACTGTGATTTTTCAAAGATTCAGCGGAAATAAATAAAAAAAGACAAAACCACATTTAAAACTACTTAAAAGTTGATGGAGGTGTTTTGCCCGGTTTTGAAGTTCAGGGAGAAAAATCGGACTTTCACGAAAGTTGAGGAGGCAACGTGGACTTTTTCCTCCCACAACACAGATAGCCCAAAAAGAAAACTGGGCTAGAGCCGGTGAGCCACTAAGGCCTGGTTTAGTTTTCAAAAAATTTCACCTCAAACTATCACATCGAATCTTGTGGCACATGTATAGAGTATTAAATATAGATAAAAAAAACTAATTGCACAATTTAATTGTAAATCGCGAGACGAATGTTTTAAAACTAATTAGTCCATGATTAGCCATAAGTGCTACAGTACTAATATGCGCTAATGATAGATTAATTATGCTTAATAAATTCGTCTCACAGTTTTCAGACAAGCTATATAATTAATTTTTTTATTAATATTTAAAAACCCCTTCCAATATCAAACATTCGATATGACGTCAAATATATTTTCATTTCACGAACTCAACCCAGCCTATCCCCGCACAGAAAACTGTGACGGGAGGCGCGCGAACCAACCAAACCCTATCTACGGTTCGCCTCCTCGGCTCCTCCCTCCAAAACACCGCTGGATTCGGGTCCCCCATGGCAGCATCACGCACCTCCAATGGGGCCGCAGCTCGCCGCAGTTGGCCCCGCCATAATCTCGCCGCGCTTCCGCACCACCCTTCCCTGCCGCACCCGGCCAAGGGGGCTCACCTCTTGGCGCCGCGCCGCGCTCCCCAAGGACGAGGTTTCGTGCTGTCCACAACCGTACCGGCGACGCTGATACGGGCCATAATATTTCATTGCTGCATTTGTGTATGCGATTTAGTTTGTTTGTGCATTTTGTTTTGTGTAGGATTATTACTTGATCGATGCGGAGGAGTCCATTGGGGATGGCTTCTCTTTCAGTGGAGGTGAGTCTGGGATTTGGCGAATTCTGGGCTTTATCAGCCGGGTTCGATTCGAATTGATTGCTATTGTTATATTTTTCTTGTATTTTGTGTTGATTGTTGCAGGGAAGTACGGGGACGGACCAAGTAAGTCAGACGAGTGGTTTGCTCAAGGGAAAATGGTATGCTACTACTTTCTGCTTTTCCTTTTTTGAGTGAAACTTTCTGCTTTTCCTTTTCGAGTGAAACTTTCTTCCTTTCATAGTTTTGCAATTGGCGAATGCTCTGAAAAATGGGCGTATATTAGCACCTTTACCTTTGTAGTGTGGACACGTGTGTTTGCGCATGTGCTGGTGTGGTGTAATTAGCTACGAATGCATTAGGTGCTGTAGGAACGTTCAATTCTGATCTGATGGCGTTAAACTGCAATGCAGGTAAACGCTTACCCAGTATATGGGGCCAAAGGGAAAGCAAAAGATCCATTCTTTGGCCTGACGATGGGATCAGGATCTCAATCTTCTGATGACGTTTTCAGGTGAATTGAGTAAGTGGTTAGCAGGGTGTCAAGTACAAAAATGTGTATTGCATTCGATCTTTTATTTTCATGTCAGGTGTCTACTTTCTTGAGAAGTGTGTTGATACATTACAGGAGACAGCTCTCATTTGTGTTCTCATTGTGATGCAGATGGTTCTGTATGGAGGCTGGGAGCTCTTCTAATCCTAAAGTGCTTTTAATTCACGGGTTGCCATCGCAGGTGGGCTTTTATCTGCTTATTATTGCTTGCACTTTTCTTGCATGACTAGCAAACTGGTAGACTGAAAGGACGAGATATGTCTTTACCTCAGTTTTTTTTTTCGTGACCGTGCCTAAGCACGTTTTTCATTAAGAGGAAAGAAGAGTTACAACAAATAGTCGTAGTAAGCCAATGCTTACCAAAACCAACACGATCCCTGCAAAACTAGTTTCACAGGGAACAAACAGAATTCACAATTAAGCAATTACATACAGACAATTCACGACCGAACCACTATCAACTCTAAAAGAAGCAGCGAACGTAGTGGCACAGCTATCCACTAAAACTAGTCTTCACCTCAGTTTCATGTGCCATACTGAAGATTGGCTAATGCCAGAATCAGCAAATTGATGCGTCAATAATCAAAGTAGCACTTTTAAGTTACACTGATAATGTCCTGATATTTATGGTTTCATGATGGCTGTTGCTACCACATTTTTTTTAAACGATTGCTACCACACTTCATTACAGGCATACTCTTACCGCAATGTGATGCCTGTACTGTCAGACAAATATCATGCCATTGCTTTTGATTGGCTCGGTGAGCACTTACATACATGTCTGCTGTTTCATTAATTAAAAATCTTCTGATACAAAGTAGTCTGTTGAGTTGTCAGGGAAACAAAAGTCCTGCATATATTAGTGTCGGGTTCATAAACCCGGGGTCCCCAATGGACCCGCTTCCCTACAAAACTCGGCCCAGCAGGCGGCGCAACAACAGCACACGTCTGGGCCGGCCCAGATACACAATAACAGGCCAAGACCACGATCCGGTCCCCGACCGACACCTCTGACCTCTGGGGGCAGGCCCCGCACTCGCCCGACCTCTGGGTTGGGGCTCCGCCTCGCCCGACCTCTTTCTCCGACCAAGGATACGCCGGATCTCTGCTCGCTGCTCTTTCCCGACCGACACGGTCGGGGACGACTAAGAACGACCGACCGGGGGGCGCTTGCTTTCGGTGTGGGCACAGGGAGCAAAGCGAGCGAGATAAGGTAAGGCGCTCAAGTCAACCGCATAACGAGGATCGTACCTGCCATACCTGCGCTTTTGCAAGACGGTGCCTCCAGTCATGATGACAGACGGACACTATACAACCTTCCAGACGCGTCGGACCACAAAGCGATATTGTAGGCGGCGTTTTGCATACCGAGCGAACACACGGTGAGCCACGCGTTTTCTGGGGCATAAATGATGATATTGTGGTACTGGCGGCGTATCCATCCTGCCCGATGGCGTGAGCAACAAGACTAGGCAGCACACGTATACACTTTCTCTCTTTCTCTCTGACTTGTAAGGCCATCCCTTTCAACTATAAAAGGGGATGCACTCTCTCCTGAAAAACGAGGCTAGCTCTCTCTCAAGACTCTCGAAGACTCGAGAACACAACAGCTCAACAAGCTTTAGAGACACACAGAGCATACGCTCCAATACTTAGCATACGTTAGAGCCCCCGTCACTCTACGGCCACTCGGTTCAGAGTCCGACCGGGCCTCTAACACCCCCTTCTCATTCCTTATTCGTTTGTAACCCCCCAGCAAAACTTCGTCGCCGACCGACCTCAACTGGACGTAAGCCCATTGCCTGAACCAGGATAAATCCTGTGTCATTGAGTGCTAGGCCACATCCGATCACAACGCACGGCAAAACTACAAATATTTACTTGTCGGCCACATTTCGCACCGACAATTAGTGTTGCCGTTGGCACAAAATGTTTTGGAGTATTGACAGTTATGCATGATGAGTATTTATACCAACACAAAAAGTCACCAATTGTACCAAATATCATCTTTGGCACCAAAACAAAAAACACTAGCCAGCATTTGATTGTACTTTGTCATTTTCAAAGTCTACTGTAAAATCATGCAACAGCGCTATAACCTTCTAAATACCCATTTTGTGTAATTTTGCTACTCTTTTCCTGGTATTGGGATTGGCGGCAGAATCATATTTATCTAATTTGAAAGCAAAGGAGTTTGTGTCTGCAGGGTTTGGATTTTCTGATAAGCCTCAACCAAAATATGGTTTTGACTATACTCTTGATGGTAAAATGATCGACACATACTGATTATTATGTTTCACCCAAACAATGCATTTTCGATGACATAATAATGTGAACTCCTATGTTTCAGAGTATGCCTCATCCTTGGAATCTCTAGTCAATGCTGTTGCTCCTGATAAGCTCTCTATTGTTGTTCAGGTTCTTCTCATTATGGCAGTCTTTATGAATCCATCTCTTTGATCTTTGTTGCATCAGAATGTCAATTTTGCAGGGCTACTTTGCTCCGATTGCAGTCAAATATGCTAGTGAACATCAAGACAAATTGAATCATCTTGTACTAGTGAATCCACCGGTAGGTCCTTTTTGAATTAGTGCATAGCTTTTGCTGGGACATTATGGTTATAAATACATCTCTGCCTTCAAAACTTCATCATTGTACAATGATCTTAAAGTATTTTTATATTTCAGATAACTGATAAACATGTGAATCTTCCATCCACCTTGGCTTCATTCAGCAACTTCTTGTTGGGCGAGATATTTTCTCAGGTCAGCAGGCATCCATTTCAACTGAATTTTAACCCTATAACTGTTTTGGTTTTGCGTCCAGATGTAACTCCTTCACTAGAATTCTTTCAGGATCCTCTCAGAGCTAGTGATAAGGTATTGACTAGTTGTGGTCCATACTTGATGAAGGAAGAAGATGCTATGGTGTATAGAAGGCCATACCTTGTCTCTGGTTCCTCTGGGTTTGCACTTAATGCAATAAGCAAAGCTATGAAAAAGGACCTTCAGGTGTTTTCCCTCATCTATCTCTTTGTGTTTGCTTTGTTTAATTCATATGTTCTAAATTGGATGTTTTTAAGGCTTACATTGAATCCATGAGAAGCATATTAAGAAGTAATTCGTGGAAAACAAAGACAACAGTATGCTGGGGCATGAGAGATCGTTGGCTCAGCTATGATGGGGTGGAAGATTTTTTTGGAGGCCTAAACCAGAAGATTGTAGAGCTGCCTATGGTTTGTCATGAAAACCAGCTATTGCCAAGTTTAATCATTTTCATGACTGTTTGTGCATGGGATAGTGTGGTTCGTGTTGCATGCATAAGGACAATGGTTGTGCATGAACGACTACCACATTTTCTAGATTTATTTCTTCCTTTTTCTTCATTTCATATTATTTTGTGCAATGACTTATGCAAGGCGGGGCACCATGTGCAAGAGGACCGTGGTGAAGAATTAGGCAATATAATCAGAAGTATACTGAGGTAATGCTGTTGGAGTCTTTTCTAATCTTGTCTCTTAGTTTTGTCCTTTTATACATTTCCATATGAGCAAATTTTGGCTGGCTTGTATATAGTGAGGGTGAGGTGACTTCAAATATATTCATATGATTTTAAAAAAGTATATATCAATTTTTACTGCCTAGGCTGGCTCGGTGATAACAAATTCAGAATCAAGTCTGTCTGTCACACATTCATTTGAATAAGAGAATGAAATAAGCATCCTTCTTACATAATACATGTTAAAACATATTGGATAGTACTCAATAAACCCCTTGCATTTTTTTTTGAAAGGAATCCCCTTGCATTTTCTGCAATGAGGAACGAAAGCAGGATGCATTTCATAGCACTTGTTAGTATGATTGTTTGAGCAGCTTCAAGGGAAGTCACATATCAAAGGCTATGCCCCCTCATCTACCTAATTAGCTCTAAAACAATATAAAATCCAACTAGCAACGGCAAGGAGACAAGCATCCCAAAAATAACCCTGCAAAATTGAGCAACAATATGGTTAACACCGAGAAATTGCAGGAGCACACCTTGAACTACTACCACTCTGTAGCCAGATCAAAATACTTACGCAGTACTAAGAACATCAGCATGCAACCCATATTCTTTTGCAAATATAAATGATGTGATGGATTGAGGTAGTGCAGCCTGCAAAATGTTTGTACAAATGTTAGGCTATGCACAAGTTCCATAAAATCTGAAGAGATTAACATAGTACACATATGATCGTGATATGCCTTTTTTAACGAACCGTGCAGAAGGGCTGTGAATTATATATTAATTAAGAAGGCCTACACTAGGCAAACAATGACACTGGAAGGGGCCACAATCTCGATCTGCCTGAAATCGGGCCTACGCAACCCTAGCCGCCTAGCGTCAGGTGCTAGCTGATAAACTTGCCATCTTGAACCCCACTATCTGGATGGAAGAGCAATTCACACCTCTTTTAAGGCATCCAGTCCTTGGTGTCAGATTTGAGTTCATACATTTTTTTAGGCCATTTCTGATGTAAGGCTCCCCTAGTTACCTCCAGTATGACAAGTGGAAATAATGTTTATCTTCGAACATCCAGAAGCTCCTATCTCCCTGAGCAAAACTGATCATACCACTTTTACATCCTTCTATCATATGTATATAGGGCTAGAAGTGTCTAAATGGGGTATTATGAAGTTATGACAGAGACATCAGTCAGACAGAAAACAGAACTCTTCTGTTATATAATCGTGTTCATTAAAAAATTTGCTTCCCCCAGAAAGCAAACCAAATATTTTGATCAAGGTTAGTTCATCTCCAGCGAAATGCGCATTAGCTGACATGATGAGTAGGCCTGCCCTGGTGCACCCTACAAGTGCAAGGTCCACAACAGCAACTACTGGCTTTTAAAACTTTCAGCAGAATTATTTATGTCATCGGACTTTACATGTTTCTCTTATAATACTGGTGATGGTGTTTAACTAACATTATATAGCTTGATTCATCATTATGCATTAAGCATCAGATGAGTGGTTGGTGATGACTTCCCAGGTTGATGCTTTTGACATGGCATTTTGCTTGGCAGATGACTGCGAATTTTGTGGGGTCAGGCTCTAGAACATTCCAACAACATATGCTTTACGAGGTATGACGCCCATGCTGCACTTTATTTGAACAAAGCTCTGTTTGCTTTGTGTACACATTTTAAAATTTGAGACGGATTTCAATGATGTTCTCTCTTATCATAAGTTTGTCAAGAAAACACTACCCTAAAAGCGCCGTTGAACATTTTCAGACAACAGCAGTACCGGTCTGTGTGTTCCATGTTCCTGATCCATGCATGCTTTATTGTTTGACCCCTGTTTCTGAATGATATGAATTCATGAATGCTCAAGGTCAGGATAACCTTGATCAAACTACAATGGTGGTGATAACAAGTATTATCTGGATTGCGCACCTGCACGAACATTGGGAGTAATTAATACGTTGATGCGCCTTTGGTCATGCTTAGTTTTTAAGCTATATTTAGCAGGTTCATGTTTGTGGCCGTGCAAGCAACCAGTACTGGTCGTAATAAAGCTCAAAGTGGGTGCAGTTAGTGGTGCCGTGCTGTCCTGGTGCTGGCATATATGGACTCAAATCTCTCGTGAATTCGTGTGTGGTTTTCGCCTCCTTCAGTCAGGGCTTATCAGCCAACCAACAGTATTTTTCTTTCATAACAAACCAACATTAGTCGGGTGTATTAGCCCAGAAACCAACCAGCGAACAGGCCGTCCATTTGTTCCTGTTGTCCCTCCCATGGCACTGTCCCCACCCTATATGCTTATGAGGCAACCTTTAGGCTCTGTTTGGAACTTTGGATTCATAGGGCTTGTATGGATCCAAACAAATCTAGCTGTTTATTAGCTGAATACCCAATCAATAACTATCTCACTAGTTGTATCAATCCAGCTAATAGCAATTAATAGTTAGCCACAGCTAACTAACTATTAACGGCTGAAAGATCCAAACAGAACTTTATTATCCTTCAGTTTTGCAGCGACCATGACTCTTCGCTCTCTTCTTGAAACAAAATCGCTCGGGCGGCTGGTGTGATAATATTTCTGTGGATGAGATCTAATGCCGGTCCTCTTAATGGAAAACGTGTCAACGGACGTGTTCTAAAAAAAAATCTAATGCCGGTGAAATGCAATCATGATTGATGACCTTGCGAAATCGTTTTCCCCCTAAACTGAAGTAGAATGAAATATATATCCAAAAAAGGTATGGCCGTGCGTGCTATGTGCATGCATCGATCACCCGTACGTGCTATGTTGGGATCGTCGTCAAGCGACGTACTACGTTTTGTCAAAAGTAAGCTGAGGGTACGTTTGATGTAGATATTGGAGACTCTGGAATTGAATTGGTACCATTACCAAATCAGGCTAGTATTGAAAATGAACTAAATACCAAATCTGTTGTTTGGATGTAGATGAATTTGCTAGCTGGAATCGAGTGACACATCAAATACCATTTCATGTTTGGATGTACACCTCTACGAATTCACTATCTTCTTCCCCAATCCCCACCGCTCGCACGACGGCCTCGAGCGTAGAGGTGGAGGCGGCCTTGGCCCCAGCCATGGGCACGCGCAGGTGGAGGCGGAGGTGGCCCCGGCCCCGGCCTCGGCTTTGAGCGCGCAGGGGGAGGCGGAGGCGGCCCCGGCCCTGGCTGCGACGAGCTCGGGCGCGCAGGCAGAGGCTGCCCCGACCGCGATGTGCTCGTGCTCAGACGGAGAGGAGAAGGCGGCCTCGGCCTTTGCTGTGATGAGCTCGGGCGCGGAGGAGCCGGCGGATCGGAGCTGGGCGTAGCTCGGGCGAAGGTCGACAGAGGGTATGGCGGGACGAAGCTCGAGCAGAGCGTGATGGCGGCCATGGCGGGGAGGAGCCCAGCGGCGGCCATGACGGGGCGGATCTGGTCCCCTTGGCGGCGGCCATGGCGGAGAAGAGCTAGGCCCCTTGGCGGTGGCCATGGCGGGGAGGAGCTACGAGCAGCTCGAGCAGAGAGGGAGGAGGAGCAGCTCGGGCAGAGAAGGGTCTTGGGGCCACCGGCTGCGGGGAGGAAGAGAAGGGGCGTCGAACCGCCGGCCACCGGGAGGAAAAGAGAAGGGGCGGTCGACGCTGGCTGCGGGGAGGAAGAGAAGGGCAGTCTGTTCTCACGATTCAGTCCAATACGGAGGGGTTGAGCTCGGTATTGAAGGTGGGCAGATTTGGTGGTAGGCGAATACCATGAAAACGGCCTTCAATTCCATCCCTCAATGATAAAGATATCCAAACAACATAATTGAAAAAACTCGGTTCTAATTTCAATGTCTTAAGTCTGAATATCTACGTCCAAACGGGGTCTAAGAGACTTTGGTCAAAAGTGGTGGTAAAAGTTAAAGACTATCGCATGCGTACATAAAAGGAAAGCTACGAGACCTGTATGATGGCGACGCGGAGGACGTCGCCGCGGAGGCCGACGGCGATGGAGCCGATGGCCATGGCGGCTGGGCCGAGCGCGAACTTGAGCACGAGGCCCAGCGCCGCGAAGCTGGGCCCGCACGCCAGCACCTTCTCCTGCTGCGCCATGAACAACCCTGCAGCGTCATGCGATGCAAACGAAAACGACCTCATCAGAAAGTTGTCAGTCAGTCACCAGTCACTATACGTGGCTGGGTAAAAAACTAAAAACACTTTTCCCTTTCTTTTACTCCTATACGTAACGGCATCCATGCGGCAGACAGAATTTATGCCTTTCGTTTGTTCGTTTCCTGTTTATTTAGGGGATTATTATATTCCTTGTATTATGGCGGCGATTATCGAATAGAATATATGTATTGTTGGCTAGAGTACTGGATACGAGAATTAATTGAAATGAGTGGGAATAACAAGTCACTCAAGAGAACTAGGGTACATGCACTTATGGTGGAGACTAACCATGCATTTTAGCATTATTAGCTAGCATAGATATAGTTTGTTGCAGGCCTGACCCTGAATAACTCTCGGGCCTTGTTTGGATCTTTGGAATTAAATTTATTTTAATAATCATAATTTAAACATAAATTAATTAAGCTAATATAGTTATATATGAATTATATTTGTATATTATTGTTGGCTATATGAGAGATGCTTATGTGTTGCATTTCTACCGTAGGGGATGAGTTGAAGAGCGTGTTATAAGTTACAAAGTAGAAACATAGGATAATAATCTATAGAATCAATTTCCATCTCGCATCCTATAAATTTGAGATAGACTTATATATGAACTTTGGAAAGTGGTGGAATGTCAAATTTCAAGCCAAATAACCTAATTTATTAAGTATATTTTACTTTCTCCAAATGAAAGGATCCAAACTGCCCCTCACAGGAATATCAATATTCAGTCATATCCTACAGTACACACTGCTAGCTAGATTAGCTCACTGCTAAAGCTTGCAACGTAAATTAATTTTCACTCAGTGCTATTTTTCAATATGTAGTAAGATCTTCGGAGACAGGCAGAACATGTTAAATGTACTTGCTGAAAAGATTGGCAAATTAATCACGGGTAAAGTCCAATTTACAACCTTCAACTCTCGTCAAAGTCCGGATTTCAACCTCGAACTTCAAAACCGGATAACTTTGGCCCTCGAACTCTTGAAACCGTTCACTTTTCAACCCTGGGGCGGTTTTGGTGGATGAACAGTACCTTTTGATATTTTCGAGAGACGTCGAAATTTTATATTATTTTTTTAGCATCTTAACGTCCTCAAATGAAAAAACTCAAAACTATAAAGTTGTAGATCTCATTGAGAGCTACAACTTTTGTATAAAAAGTATTTTCATTTAACTCTATACAAATAATATATTAGTGCTCTAATGCGACAAGTGTAGCGTTAGTAGAGATCTATTATTATGGTGCTGAAATTTTATATTATTTTTTGAGCATCTTACTGTCCTCAAATGAAAAAAATTAAAACTATAAAACCCTTGTAGATCTCATCGAGAAGATACATTTTATATGTAAAGATTATCTCACAACTTTATAGTTTTAATTTTTTTTCATTTTTGACAGTAATTTGAAAAATAATATAAAATTTCCGATAATAATCGCGTGTTGAAGACTCATTAGAGCACTAATATATTTTTGTATGGAGTTAAATGAAAATACTTTTTATACCAAAGTTGTAGCTCTCAATAAGATCTACAACTTTGTAGTTTTGAGTTTTTTCATCTAAGGACGTTAAGATGCTCAAAAAAATAATATAAAATTTCAACGCCTTCCGAAAATACCAAAAGGTACTGTTTATCCGCCAAAACCGCCCGAAACCGGCCCAGGTTTGAAAAGTGAACGGTTTCAAGAGTTCGAGGGCCAAAGTTATCCGGTTTTGGAGTTCGAGGTTAAAATCCAGACTTTGACGAGAGTTGAAAGTTGTAAATTGGACTTTACCCATTAATTAATCTAGTAAAATTAAATCGTGTGTGTTCACGTTTTTTTTTTTTATGCACAGTGTTCGTATGCACACATGTAGATATACAAATATCTGGGGCTAGCTTCTCAGGAGACAGAAATTACTCACCCATGCTGAACATGGCCATTCCTGTGCCCGACTTTGACATGATGAGCACCGATCCCTCGAAGGCACTGGGCAGCTCGATGTGCAGCCTGTTCAGTTTCAGAAGAGCAGAGGCAGTAGTATTCCATCGTCAGACATGTTTGAGCTTGGCGTAATCCCAAATGAGGCAAGCATTAACCGCAGGCAAGAAATAAATAAACTCATGGCTGACATGGGTTAGGCCATTTGAGATCTCTGGGGCCAGGGCCATTGGCTTGAACATCAGAGAACACCATCGCCATGTAATATGTCTCTAATGTCACTTCAGGTGTGCTACACGTCAGACCACAATTTTGGTAGCTAGCTAGCTGCCTACCACACATTTCGCACTAGCTAAACCGGCAAATCCGAGCCACACATAGCAACAAGAGTGCCATGGAATCAGCATGCATGCATGCAAGTTAATCAGCAGAGAATCATCTACAGAACAGTTTGTAGGGGCCTGTTGTGCAGCATGCACCTACTAACTTTTTACTGTACTGAATATATTTATGTGCACACAGGTACTATGCATGCAGTTTGCTAAAAATTTCATATTTCTAACCAATCACCGACCGACCGAAGCTGCATGCACTGCATATGTACGTGGCGTATAAGCCTGCAATACGTACGTACCTGTTGGCAACGCAGGCCCAGGTGATGCCGACGAAGCTGGCGTACGTGTTGGGGTTGCGCGACAGCTTGTGCGCCACCACCTTGACGAGCGCCCAGAGCGAGGGCTTGACGGGGACGACGACGACGGTGGCAGCAGAGGCGGCGGCAGGGGCGGTGTCGGCGGACTCGACGTCCTTGACCGGCGAGTCCGGCACGTCGACGTACATGCCGATGGCGGCCTTCCTGATCTCGAGCACGAAGAGGAGGAGCGTGAGCCAGACGATGGCCTGGAAGACGGAGAGCTGGACGACGAGCTGCTGCGCCCACTCGCCGTACATGGCCCTGGCCATGGGCACGCCGACGACGAGGGAGTTGGTGAGCGTGGACAGCGAGAAGCCGGTGATGGACCAGCCGACGGCGCAGCCGGCCCATCCGCCGCCACCGGCGCCCTTGCCCGCGGAGGCGACCCTGGCGGCCCAGCAGGCGATGACGCCGACGATGACGGCCTTGGAGATGACGTCGGCGGCGACGGCGCTGTAGTTGACCTGGAACGGGTCCGTGTGCAGCGTGAACTCGAAGGTGAAGAAGGGCAGCGCGAAGAAGGCCACCAGCCGGTTCACGGCGTCGCACTGCTCCCGCGTGAAGATGCGCCACCACCGCACGGAGCCGTAGCCCAGGAACAGCGCGAAGTAGAGCGGCACCGTTGCCGCCACCACCTTGTACACGTCGCCCCACCCGATCATCCTCCTCGCCTTCTGATAGCTAAATCTCTGTCTCGATCGATCGATCTCTCTAGCTAGCAGCTTTCGTTCATCAAGAGCTAGCTAGCTTAGCTAGGTGATAAATGAACTCGCGCGCAGCTACTATCCCTGCACGGTTGGCAGCAATATATGCAGCTACTTGATCGTACGTGTAGGAGGAAGAAGAAGAACAGTGCGATCGCGTGCGTAAATTAAAAATTGCGATCTCAAGCGAGCTAGATCGTCGTCGTCGATATGGATGTACAGTGTGAGAGGCAGAGTGTGTGGGGGTGGCGAGCTTTATAGAGCGGTAGCCGATGGGCGATGGAGGTTGGAGACGAGCGCGGCCACATCTGGGGCATGCAGCTAGCGTCAGCAACAGGAGCAGCTAGCCAGCCGGGTGGATCGTGGCCGTTGAAGGCATCGTTCCGTTCTTCAGGAATTATGCCATAGAACAATTCCTATCAGGAATGCTTGATCTTTGATAAGCTAGGTCAATTCCTGGTAGATTCTTAGCTAACCGAACAAGCTCGAAATGGAAGCAGCTTGGAATAATAAAGGACCCAATAATAAAATATACTCTCTTATAATTCCAAATTGCACTTCGCTCTTTAGCTTTTGTATACCAACTCAAACTTATTTAAGTTTAACTATTTCTTTAAAAAAAATATTAACATCTACATTATACTAAATAAACACATAGTCAAGGATCCGTGGTGGAGTTAATGAAACAAATTTGGTGCTATAGATATTGATATATTCTTTTTCTCGAATACACAAAAGATTTGTGCATTGTTGTCATTAAGGTAGAAGAGCTATATACTTATTCTGACCATGAAAAAGTCAAAATTGCTCTTACTATATATTGTCATTTGCTAAAGAATCGATATAATCTCAGAGGCACTTTAAATACAAATCGTCTAGTACAAATTTATATTCTAAATTATATATAATATTATAATTTCAATATTTTTTTTGTCAAAGTTTGTTTTTCTTGTTTGAAATATGATTTTCATTCCGAAACAGGGAATATTATAATGACCTATATATATAATTTGGAAGGGATGCATCGAGTATGTTATCAGACATAAGCAAAAAAAAACTCGAGCCACGGGGGAGAGACACCCCCACGGTGTTTCATTAAGAAGATGTCGAGAAAATCCTTGAACCTTGGCTCCACCCATATACAGCGGCACCTGCAACCCCGTGAGACGGGAGGGCCACAGAAAATCCCCGAACCTCAGCCCCACCCATATACACCGGCACCCCCGTGAGATGGGAGGGCCATAGACCTGTAACCCATATACAGTTGCACTTGCAGCCCCGTCTCACGGGCCACAGAAAATCCCCGAACCTCAACCCCACCCATATATAGCGGCACCCCCGTGAGACGGGAGGGCCACAAACCTGAGGGATGCCACCGGAGCCATCTAACAAGTTAGGCTAGAGGACCTTTGGCTATCAGAGATAAGCACAAAAGCAGGTAGGTTAATTAGAGATGTGATGATGTGAGTGCTAGCAAGAAAGTCTTGGTTCGCTTTGATTCGGATAGCATGGCGCAATGCGATATGGCATGCCATGCCGATCAGTCCAGTTCGTTAATGGGAGGTTGAAGCAAAGCTAGGGATCGGAGACTGAAATGGGCATTCGTGCACGCGCAAATTCAGGAGTGCGTGCGTGACAGCGGCCGCTAGCTAGCTTTCGGCACGGTCTATCTCACACACTCAAGAATGGCGGACCGCCCGGGCGGCGTACGTGCTAACGTGCACACGTTGCATGATTTCATTTCACATTGTTAAATTGTGACATCGCATTCCCTATTAACGTACTGGAAACTCCCCCATACAAGTTTAAACACAAACAACTCTACAAAATATTGATCACTCCTTTTTCACTTGCAAAAACAATTGCTATACGTACTCCTATACTAGCTAGATGCAACACACAAACATAATGGTATTATAATTCATAACTGTCGAGAAATGCTTGGAAGGAAGACGAGCCATCGTGGAGGTCGCGAGCAGTAGTGCGAAGACACTTCCCAAAAAACCTGCTTCGCCCTCTCTCGGTCTAGGATTACAAGGGCAAGCAGTTTTGGAGACCTGCTCTCCCGATTGCCAGTACAAATGCATTTAGGATGGAGAGACTACAATAGTAACACAAACCGCAGAAACAGGATAAGAACAGATCGCGTGTCACATCACGATCCAAATCGATTAGGTTTCCAGTTCGTGGACTTAAAAGCCAAGCAACCAAAAAGTAAAACCGCAAAAGGATGATGCACTCTTGCAAGTTCACAGGCTGGATTTCGCAAACCAATGACACAGGCACCTGTGCGCCCCTCCCGGGCCCAAGCCTGGCCATTTATTCCAACACAAGTTTTGTATTGTTGTCTTTTTCTCTCTAGTGAAATACATGCTTACGTTAGCACAAAAGAAATATGCTAGTCGTCTATAGCAAGCTTATAATAATTAATAATATAAAAAATAAATTAATAGTTCTTACGACTCTTCAATCCTTCAACATCAGGCGGTGTCAGTATTGCTGCAAAAGCGCTCTACGAGTAGCATCTCTTGCAGGTGGCTAAAGCAAACGCCTGCTACCATATTCTCACCTCACATATATTCGCGCGTATTGGAGCAGAGCGCTCGGCGGAGACGTACTCCTATCGTGGAGGTTCAACCGTTCAACTCATCGATGAGCACATGTATATCGCCGCAAGGAATTAATGCGGTACAGTGGTTCTTGTACGCATAATGCATAATCCCTCGCATGTTGTCCAAATTATTGAGTTTATTTATTCATGATATAGAACAGGAAAGGACAAGTATTAGTGCTGTCATTTGTTGGCTTTAGAAACTATGCACATTATAATTTTTTTATTTTGTCTTTTTCTAGTCTTCTTGTTAGCACACATTATAATTAATTTGTCGGTAATTTAGGCCCTGATTGACGTGGTGAACACATCTAGATCTCAATTTTATGACTTAGGGTTTAGTGGTAGATGAACACAAGTGCCGTAAGTACGTGAGTAACGTATGTTTTACAATGGTATTCACATTTGAGTTGGTCATAAGTTGATTGGCTACAACTCTCTTGGCTCTGAAGATTTGTATTGATGTTTGGGACGTGGCACAAAGGATATTCGTGAAGACTAAGAACACAATAGAGCAAATATAAGCTCGGTGCTCGGAGATATTATTTGTAGTTAGTTTGGTAAGGTTTTTGGTGTTGAGGGCCGTCGTTCCTTCTTTTTCTCTTGTTGCTTTGCTTTGTTCCAGGTCGCTTACCGCTAACTTTGGTGGTTTGTAATTTGTACTATGAGGGCTCTCTCGTAGTTGTGTCATGTAATTCTCTTCCTCTTAATGAAACACATGCTAAGCCACCTAAGCAAAAAAAAAGTGTGTATTAAGGCTTTGATTTTCCTTTGGTCTTATTATTAATGGGGTCCAAGGCGTTCATCTTGAGGGAGTTTGAGCGAGAACATTCGGATGTGCAAGAGACTACGCTCATTCAAGATTATGATGGTAAGGGGCCCCCATTGAAGTGGTTTCAACTTTCAAGTCAATGATCTTAAAGAAATTGAATTGGTCGATCGGACTAAAATTGGGTTTGAAAACAGCGCCGGATTATACTAGGATCACACTAAGAACCTTTCAGAACATCACAAGTTGTCTATATATACCCCTCAGGTCCCTCCAAACTATTTTAAGTTTGGCCAACTTTATAGTTTAGAATAATAATACTTATGACATGAAATAAATAGATCATGAAAATATATTTTATGGTATAACCAATGATGCTAATTTGATGGTATAAATACGGATGCATTTTCCTATAAAATGTGCTAAGCTTAAAATAGTTTGACTTAGGACAACTTTAGAAGTTGATTTATTTTGGGTATATGTGACAGGAAATTAATGAGTGGTGTTTTTTTCCTAATCAGGCAAACACTTAAACAAGTCAATTTGTGTCACAACCCAAATACTAGGATGTCAACTTAAAATAGAAGTCCACCTGCATCCTGAACACAGATTACGGCAGAGCATAAGCGGATTAGCATCTATCTGCAAGCATGCACGCACAAATATCAATGCTATGTAACAACCACCGTCAAATAACCATGCGGCCTAACCAATTCAGAAACCAAACGTAATGATATTCTCCCTAGCTTTTTCCCCCTTTATAAATTAATTAAGGGATTACTTTTGCAAATGCAGTAAAGACTAAAGAGCTGCTACTTGCTACCTGCAACGATGTGTACGGTATATATTCCCACTCTCTCATCATCCTTGAGGATTAGGGGAATTAATCCCCATGTACTGATATATATACATGCATCACGCTTGTGTGCGTGCTTTATTTGATGGATATATGGGTGCATGGCATGGAACCACAATTGCTGACGCCCGTAGGCCACCCTCCAGTGGACATCAAGTTGAACGAACCATCTGGGCATGCAGCAACAAGCAGAAGACGTACTGTACGTTCCATTCCATCTCACTGCATACATGCATGTAAAGTGGAGATCAGCTATAGCTGCTACTTTCATCCGCATCCCATCCTCGCATAGTTGCATGCGATATTTGCAATTTGCAAATGAGCGAATGGCTTCCTCCTTTCAGGTGGCAGAGGGGATTTTGCTTGCTCGTCAGCACTCGGCTCGAACAGAGAGGCATCTCTCCTCCCATTTGTTTCCAGAGCATTCAGGATGGCGCGAACGAATTGCTCCTCCTGTTCCTTCTCTCAGGTGGGGCCGAAGATAGCCTTCTGGTGGACCCACCTGTCAGTGCCTGCTCATATAACAACAAAGAGGCTTTTTCTTAAATGAAATAACAATAAAGAGGCTGTCTCGAGCACATTCAGACATTCAGATTAGCAGAGATTGGAACGTCCATGGTATACAAATTCAGGTTGACTGCGTTTCAGTGGATTTCTTGTAATTTTACCATCGTTTGAAACTTCCATCACGAAAAGAATGCGGATTCCGCATTTCTTAGCAAATGCTCGCATCACTTAGTTTGGAATTGGAACAAAGGCAAGCAAGCAGAGCTCAACCTGCAAATGGAGAAGAGCCAAAGATTGGAATGGTCAGAAGCCGTTTCGGGCTCTGCCCAACTTGTACAGTGTATATATGGCTGCCATACAAGGGAAGCGAATATCAGCTGCGGCTGCAGAGAGAGCATATTATCTTGTCTTGGTACAGCATTTCCTATATTAACCGCCTGTATTCTGCACACAAGCACATGAGCGACAGAGAGAGATTGCATGCTGATGCTGGGTTTATTTTTATTTTTGGAGACGTATTGCATGCTTGCAGGGCACCACTTCGATCGGATGTTCTCTTCTCCACAGGCCAGTACTTGTCCATCTCTCTAAACTGCACTAACAACGGTGCCCGTTAAGCCACATCTCCCGATGCAGCGAGATAGCAACGACTGGTTTATGCAGTACAAAAATGCCACTCGATGAACTGAGTGATGAATCGTATGCCGCTTATCTGCAGGCAGAAAGATAGTTGCTCTTTCGTCGGTTGGAGCTCATTGTTTGCAAGATTTGTCAATCTTTTTGAAAGATATATGCTGGCTGCATCAGTACTCTAGTACCCTTCAATTGGAGCTCTGCGTTATTTTTGACACTGCAGAAATTCAAGCCACGAAGAAACATTGGGCATCTGATGAACAAAACAGCAACAGAACTGAACTTCATAGCTCACGATTTTTTTAACAGATCTGAACAACAGAATAACATACCGAAACACAACGCCAGCGACAGACAACGTACAGCATGTTCACTCCATGTCCACGCCCAGTTCATGCGGCCACAGGTTGTACAAAAAAGCAGAAAAAACGAAGCTAGAACACAGCCGAACATTCTCCTATCACTCTATGAGACGACACAAACAGAATGCTCCCATACCATTTGGTCAAAACCTGAACAACTATGTAACGCGACACACCAGGTCTTGTTTTCGCGATGCGTCTCAGGATGCATGATAGATTTCGCTGGAACTCAACAGTCGCAATGGGTTTCCAATTTCACAGTTGGACTTCCCTACCATATACCCAGCTGAAAGGCAGCGTGCCTGCTTTCTTGGCTCTGCTCTGGGCCCTCTCGTCCAGCTTCCTGATCCTTGAAGCAAGGGTGCAAAGGTAGTCCTGTGCCTTGTTCCCTTCACCTGACAGACCAGTCAGATCCGCCACCTTCCACCTGTCGACAAGGAACTCAAGGATGTCGGCGTAGTCCCTGGCAGTGTAGACACCAAGCCTCTGCGCGACCATGGAGAAGTGCTCAAACAGCTTGTCGTCCTGCCCGTCAAACATCAGGTGAGCAGGCATTGAGATCTTCTTCTTCATCATGTCAGCCAGAGCAACCACAGTACCATCAGGGTCGATCTCAAACAGCTTCTCCACGATCTTGGTGTACGCAGTTTCATGTCGCTTCTCATCTGAGGCGATGATGCCACAGATCTGTGCAAGCTTTAAGTCACCAAAGTCCTTGGCGTGACGAGCAGTGTTCCCGTGTGAGATGAAGGTCGCCCGCTCTTGGAAGGAGGTGTAGATGAAACCAAGATAAGGATTATTCTCAGTCCTAGGATCCTGAAAAGGACACAGTAAAGAAAGTACATATTAGTCTTACATAGTTATAATCAGTAGCCTAGATTTAAAGAAAAAAAAGTAAACAAAAGATAATTAACCAATGACCCAACTGAAATGGAACCACGGTTGAAAATTTCAGAACAATAGTTGCTCAAAAAATATGGCAGCATAGCGAGTTACTATTAAAATAACTTCACCAAAGAACCACACTCCCAACAAGCCAAAATAAACACTTCAGAAGCATGAACAGCTGAATGTACATGTCAAGACTCGGTAAGAAAAAGACAGAATGTGTTACCATTCCAGAGCCAATAAGATACTGAATTGTCTTCTCAATTTGCCTCATATCCACCCTCCCAGTGAGGTACATATACTTGTTGAGCAGATCACCATGCCTGTTCTCCTCAGCAGTCCATGCCCTCGTCCAAACAGCCCAGGCAGTGGGGCTTGCACCTGTCTCATCTCTGACACCGTCGAGGGTGTTAAGCATAGTCTGGTATGTTGGAAGAGCTTCCTCAGTAATCATGTCTCCAACCAAACAAACAAAATAATCATCAGGGATTTCCTTGGCACGTTCTCTGAGCTCCTTAACTTCGTCATGAAATCCTTCAGATGATGGGTCAGGGAGGAAATCCTGTGGCTGCCAACACTTCTCAACTGGCTTGAGATGCGTCAAGATATTATCTCTAGCCCAATCATCAAGCGACTTGAAAATTTCAATCTTCTGAGGTGGCATTGAATGTGTAACCTGGACATGTACCTCCCTTGGAGGAGCAAATGGCATCTTATTCTCGACCCTGGAACAATTTTGAGGCAAAAAGTATGATTAGTTACCAGTTACATATTATGAAACAAATCTAAACTTTAGGAGAAGACAAATTTGGACATTGTCAGTTCTGGTACAATTGGGATTGTGGCTGTAATATGCAGTCAGATTATAAGCATAGTAGAAGCCACTAATGGACATGGACATAAGGAACATCTAACCCCAGAAGGCCTGCAATGATGATCCTCACAACTCTCCAGTCTGTTTGCAATGAACATATTTATAGGCACTCAGATATTAAGACCATTTTCCTGTCTTATGTTAGGTATAAAGTATGTGTAAGTTATGCTAGTGTACAGCATGGGAGAATGGGGATAAACAGAGTGGCACACACACATGGTTCATATATCCTAACCGCGATAATGTATTAAAATCCACACTTGCTCTCATTTGTTTTGAAATAAAAAGCAGTGAATAAGCAAGATCGCCTTGAAAGGAACGTATGGAAGGGCAAAAGTCATGGCAAGAAAACTGAAATCTAGAAGGAAATGAGATGACAATCTTTACATACAGCCCTCCGTTCTAAATTATAAGACGTTTTGGCTTTTCTAGATGCATTGCTTTAGCTATGTATCTAGACATAGTGTATATCTAAGTGCATAGTTAAAGTTATGTATTTGGAAAAGCCAAAATGTCTTATAATTTGGAACTACTTAGCATATGATAGTAAGCAAAAAAAAAAAAGGTAACCACCTAGTGACTTTTTCCTTTTCGTTTTTTTTCATTTTTTTTTGGTGTGCGTGTGGGTGGGTGGGGCCAGTGGCGGGCCCAGGATTTGGAACTTGCGTATTCAGAATAGGAAGAAAAAAATTTGGCAACCTACAACTAGTATTTGGCATGTATAATAGCATAATACCACATAGATGTAAATATATACAACACATAATTGACCATAATTTTATATATTCATAGAAAACCCTCAAATCTGTAGCACAACCCTTTTTGTCTTCGTGTTTGAGGGAATCACAGAGACACTGACTTAGACAACCAGACTCCCCTCTTCCTAGTTTACAAGTGATTAATAAATTGCCATCCACAATATATTGAATGAGATTATGGGAAACAAGTAGACCAAATTTTAACTTACAAATTGACTTCAGAAGCCATGTGCGGCTGTGAATCCCATGCCCATGGTGCCAATGCGCACACCGGGTCACGGCCTCACCGGCCTGCCGTACACAAGGGCGCGAGCGCCAAACGGACGCACCCTCGCCAGCCGCTGGGGCGCTAGAATGACGAGTTCGTCGCCCACAGTGCTAGGGTTTGGAGTTGGGGAAAATGAGAGACGGGAAGAGAAAAGAAACAGTGCTTGAGCGCGATTGCGTGAGTGGTTGATGCCGATGTGCCTGTTCGCTGCTTGGTGGATGGTGGGGAGGAAATTGGGCCACCACTGGTCCTGACTGGGCCGTCGGGTTGGGAGAGAGAAGTAGGAGAACGAATGTTTCAGCCTGAGTTCTCGACAGAGTAGTTATTTTGGCTTTAATTTTTCTTTTTTTAATACACATACATGTATATATTACATATACAAAAAAAATGGCAAAAAATTTGGGTATTCAACTGAATACCCCTGAATACAAGTGGGCCCGCCCCTGGGTGGGGGGCTCTTAAGGTTTGAGAAGTACAGTATGAGCAAATAACAAGAATGTACCTAGGCTTCTAACCTGCCGAACTTATCAGGTTGGCAAATAAATGCCATTAGTTAGTACCTAATGTCACTGACCTTTTCCATACTACATGACTACAGTCACATGTTGTGTCACATACAAATTATGATGTGACCCCCACCATGTACATATTAATGGAAGGATTATATCCCAATTATCAGAACTTCATCAACGTTTTAGTCCCGGAATACTTCATCACATAACTATCACTGACAAAAATATCAAAGAAACCAAACAGAAAAGAGCAGTAGTAATAGGACGGGGTGCAAGTGCAACTAGGAGTAAGAGTAACCTGAGTACCCCAGCTATGTTTCTCTAACGTTTCAGCCAAATCTACGCTCGGCTCAAAGTAGGCTTCCTTAAGTTAGAACTTAGAACTAGCTGGAAAACCCACTTAGATACACTTCAAATAGGACAGTACCTATGGAATCATGGTTTTGGAGCGCCACTTGGTGAGAAAAATAAATAAATATGTGCCACGATGGAACTCTGGATGGGCTTCTATTCCCGATTTGATATGCTTACGACTGATATGGGACAAGCAGTTAGTTTCATTCCAACATAAGACTTTATTTATTGATTTCATAAATCCCATCAACCCAAGCTTATGAACAACAAAGAGCTTTCATGAACCGGCAACTGAAGAGTTCAATGGTCCTGTGGGGCACCATCAAATTAAATTCCAACAAACTAGGCCACCAAGAACATGGTGCAGGCCACAGGGCTACCAAATCGACCAACCTCGACAGCAAACACGCGTGTTCAGTCTCCACCTCCGATGCAGACAGTACTACGATGAATCACCCCCATGACTACAGGCAAGTTAGGCACTTCAATCGTAGACTGGTATAGCCAGTACACCAGCTACCCAAGCTCAAACAAAAAAAAGTACACCAGCTACCCTGTGCAGTGCAGCGCAGTGTATTTAAAAGGGTACATGGAACCACGCCGGGAACAATTCTAGAATGCAGGTCATTAAGAGGATACGCGGGGAGGACGAACTGCCAGGGTCCAGGGTCCCCGATCAAGTTAGGTCCCAGGAAAATTTAATGCCCGGGAGGAAATACGGCATCAAAGGAAATCTGAAAGGGACTGGCGCAACAGAAACGGCCTCGCTTCGCATCGCTCGCTTGGTGTCGACGGCAAGGCGATTCAACCGAGCGGCCAGGCTCCGGTCCCGGCCCGCGCCGCGCAGAGTAAACGACCCACTCATGCAGAATTTTTAATGGCGGAACTGTGGCCTTGGCGCCTCTGATCTACGGAGGCAGCGAGGGGCGTCGCCCTCGCGCATGTGCGGCCGTTGCCGCCTCGGAGACCAGGGCCGAGCTCGGCAGGACGAATCTGACAACCCCGACACGGGCACCCGCTCCCCAGACCCCAGTCCCCACGGAAGGAAGAGAAGGACAAGGCGCGACGAGCACCAAACCCTGATCCAACATTGCGAGCGGAGGCGGCGGAACACCCAAGCCGAACTGTCAATCCATCACGAACCGTTCGGCGTAGGCGTCGCCGCCAGACGTAGGAACCGGTTCATCCATCCACCCAATCCGAGGAACCAATCTATCTATCTTATTTTTATCCATCAATGGAGGAAGGGAAGAGGAACGCAAACTGGGAGAGGAGAGAGGGCCATGACGAGCGAGGCCCCAGGCCATGCGACTTACTTGGTGGAGACGGCGGACGTCATGGAGGCGACGGCGACGAACCTGCTGCCGCCGCTGCGGCAGAGGCGGCGGCCGGCGGCGAGCGGCGGTGAGAGGCAGAGCGCGACGTCGTTGAGGCGGAGCGCCATCCTGGAGGCCAATGGGAAGCGGAAGCCGGAACCGCCGCCGCCGCCGACCCTGCCGCTGGCCGTCGCGAGATTGGGATGTGGGTGGTGGTGCCTGGTGGCGAGCGAGAGGAACGAGCAAACGGCAGAGAGCGCGTGCGATTCTCCACCTCAGGTTTGGTTCGGGCGCTTGGGTTTTAGCGGCCTCGCCACCGCTGCAGCGGACACTGCTGAACGCCTCTCGGCAGTGGGCCCATATTTATGCTCCTTTCTACGTGCCCCTGAATGAAATTACCGGACTCGCCCTCTCGTCCTCACTTTCCGTCCCGTCTCGGCCTCTCGCTAGTCAAGTTGTTCTTTTCTTTGGCTCGTGTTGTCTCTCTGTAATCTTCCTCGTGTCATTAGCGTTATTATTACTTTGAGTGGGGATTAAGAAATGAGAGCGCACGTCTTTTCGCTTCTTAAGACAAGCCATCGTGGCATTAGGAGTATCGAGATCCTCTAGATTCTAGTCGATATTCACCCCCTTCTTTGATTTTAAATGTACACCTTTGATGGAACATGCGTATATAGACACAAAATGATAGTTTTCTTTGTTAGCGTACGCCGAGGCGATCGCATGACATGGCCACACAGGCCCCTCTAATCGAACATAATACGTCGATAGAAGACGGTAAACTGACGAGTTTTTAGTAATTTTTTTGTAGCACATAGTGCATTCTAAATCAGGTTGTTTTGAAATTTGATTAGTGAGGTCACACTTTGATTGTGAATCAAGCATAGCTTGGCTGGCTAAGTTGGTTTGAGTCATCGACATAACGCATATACTTGTATATGAGTGTTTATGTTTTTGCTTGTGTGTCGTAGAGGTGAGTGCACATACATGCATATATGAGTGTCTATATCTGTGTTGTGTTTCGCTAAAAAAAATATTTTCTTTGATAGCACGGTGGATGCTCAATGATAGTATGCCACAAGCCCCTTGTAGAAAACTCTGAGCTAACAAGTGTTTCCACTCAGAGCTAACAAGTGTTTCCAAATGTGTGTCATATATATTGCATACTTTTTTAGAACGTGGGAATTTCTTTTTGTGTGTTCCTTGTGTGTGTGTGTGTGTTATTTCTGAAAATGAACTGTTTCTTTAAAAATCTTGTATGATTATGTGAAATTCCCATGTTCCAAATGACTAAACCAAATTGTATGATTATGCAAATTTGATGTCTAGGCTGAAAAGGTCTTCTAATGATCTATAATGGACTACTAATTCTCCTTTAGAAGTAACCAGTATATATTCCAATCTACCATTGAACAACAACGTGGAGTGCACGAACAGAAAACATTATCAATATATTTATGACTTCAAGTAGATATCCTATGTAAATACATTTGATAATAAATCTGATTATATTCATTTAGCATGATAAATATTTGTAATCTTTCATAAATTTGATCAAATTTAAGATAGTTTGGCTTGAAACTATGCTAGATTTTGATTTTTTACGAGACAAATTAGTAAAGCAAAACATTTTTTAGCAACTGATAACTTGCTTTATATGTCAAAGTTATGCATTAAAGGACTTTTTTAATAAAAAAATCCTAATATGCCTTGTAAAAACATAGGGAGAAAACGTTCACATGTGAATAAAAGGGGTATAAATTAATTTTAGTGCTAACTAGAGTATTTCCTTGCAAATTTGATGTCTAGGCCGAAAAAGTCTTTGAATCATCTCTAACGGAGACTAATTAAATTTCCATTTAGCATTAGCTAGTAGTACATTCCAATCTCCCATGGAACAACCATGTGTGGTGCACGAGCAACTTGCGGCTGTCTACAAGTCGGCTTGTAAAAATTGCAACTTGCGACTATCTACAACTTCAAGTAGGCTTATCAAATATTGTTATCTCTAGCACTATTAGCTACTCCGTCTATTTAAAATTGTAAGTTATTTTAGTTTTTAAAAATATATAGTTTTACTATATTGAGATATATATGCATGTCTAAATACATAATAAAAATTATATATTTTAAAAAATAAAATGAATTATAAATTCTGACGGAGAGAGTAGCAAAGGCGAAAACGTTTAAAGAACGGAGGCAAACGTATGTGAAAACGATGTTAAACTGTAGCACCAAAGCACTCCCATGCGAATTTGATATCTGGACAGAAAAAAAAAGCCTTGAGTGATTTGATGGACTAATTTTCCTTTGCCATTCGCTAGTGCAATGGTACAGCTTGCGACTATCTGCAGACCGGCTTGTTGGCAATCGCTATCCCTATGTAGCGGAGAAGAAAAACGTATGGAGAACGAGAACGGAGGGGGGGGAACGTGAAAACGAGGTGGGCGGGATTATCTCGCTCCTTGTGGCACACCCCGTCGCTTACTCGCTTTTGGCTGATTTTTCCGAAAGGCAAAGTGTCCTGTCTTGGTTTAGCCTTAACCGGGAGCTCACCTCGTCGCACACTCACTCGTGGTCGTCGAATCGAGCGCCACTCGCCTCGCAAAAAAGCCGCAAGGGCACCAGCGGAATTCCCTCGAGAATCTCTGCAGAGAGTCCTCGCACGACGCCGGCCGGGGCCGTCCGAGATTTCGTTTTACCAGTGGCCACTGCACCCTGCCCGTCCCACGGCCAACGGCGCGGCACGTCTCGCCTCGCTTTGTCAGTTTCGTCGAGTGCTACGACTGTACGAGGCCGCGCTGACTCACGGGGGCGTCGTGACGCGCGGTAGTAGGCGGCCGAGGCTGTTTTTTTCGGCTGGTATTAAAGTCTTAAAACTGTTTTATTATGAAAAAATACTATACATCGATAAGTAAAGCCAGCTGAAACTGTTTTATCGTGAAAAAAATAATATACATCGACAATTTCAAGCGAACAGGTCCGGGCGACGGGCGGGCGGGCAGCGCGGTGCCAAGCCTGCGGGCGTCACTCGCTACGGCAGTCCCGTCACGTCGGCACGCGAGTCCAGGCGCGTGCGAGTGCGAGCGGCAAAACCGGCGGCGAGGCGAGTAGGCGACACTTCCAGCCGCGGTCATCGATGGACACGAGGCGGCGAGCGCAGTCCCGCGCGACGCCGACAAGTGTGCGGTGGCTGCAGCCTGCAGGCACCAAGCCAAGCCAGCGCGCCACAGCAGCAAGAGGCCAAGAAGGCTGACACGCGGGGAGAGCATATGCCCGCGAGGTAAAAACGATTGGTTTTGACGCGGGCCGCGGGAGTCGCGTCCGTCAGGGGCCGCCGATGATACCGAGGCTGGCGACGCCGGATCGGAGACAAGTACTCACTAGTCTCTTAGTACTCTACTCCTAGGCGGGAGGACAAAAGGACCCGGGAACCCAGCGGTACCGGTAAGGATGCGGATCGGTCGGGGCGCGTCCACCGTCCGCGTCCCCTCCCTCGTCGGCCGGCACGCGGGGCATGTAACACACGTTCATACGCTGCCCCTGCAGGTCGCTGGCTGGTTACAGCGCTGTGAGACAGCCGTTCTACAGTGATTCCTCAACACAGCAGCAGCCGCAACAGCCGTGGCAGCGCTGGGCTGATGAGCAGCCAACGGGCCTGGTGCCGTGTCTTCAGCCGTACGTTGCCGGTGACCGGTGATTTGGGCGAACTTGGGAATTCCGACCTACCTTTTGCAAATGAGGAAGGAAGCATTCGACTTTGCATGTTCGTACTCCCTCCAGCCTCTGTAAAACAAAAACTAATAGGGCCTTGTATATTGGACTTCCGACTTTTTTTTTGTTCTGAATTAATCTTTGCAGGAGTGACTTCAACAGCCTGTTTGCTTGCTCGTAAACGATCGTAAATTTCCAGCCAGGAACAGTGTTTTTCTCTCACACCAAACCAGTCAGCAGTAAATAATCCACGATACGATACGGCCTCCCGAACAGGCGATTGAGCTCTGGTGTCAGTTGACGAATATTGCTTGCAAGAAACCAACAAATATACAAACGGCCCAAGCCACATACATGTGGGAAGAACGGCCCAAGTGGCTCCTCAGTCCTCACCTTTTTTCTTTCCGTTTCAGATATGTATCTGTGATATTACAAGTTGAAGTTCAAACATCTGTAATCTGTCCCAGATGCCCGAAATCAGACACTTGATAGCTAGCATAGCACCAGGCAAAGCTGCTTGGGCCCCAACCAAACACACCCTCAAAACATGCACATGAATCAACTAGACTCACAGGCAAGGATGCAAACATGTGAAAGGAAACAGAGAACATTCCATATACATAGAGTACATTGACAGCTGCAGGTGAGCATGCAAAATGGACTAGACTCCCAGGCAAGCACGAATTCTTATTTGTACCGTCCACAAACGAATGCAACAATATACCACCAAGTCTTGCTCCAAGCAGACCAAGAATATCTAAAAGACTAAAACTCTCCAGACAAACCAACAAATGAGCCAAGTACATTGTACAGTTCAGTGCAACGTTGTGCACTGGGGGCAATCACCAACGGATCAACCAAGTACAGTCTACTGTACAGCACGGTGTGGTGCATCAAGATGTTGTCGGACTCGAGCAGGTGCTCCTGGTGGCGGCATTGAAGATCTCGGTGTAGCCCACAACGCCGATGAGGATGCCGTCCTCCTCCGACTCTGCGTCCGTCACCCAGACGTGCGTGGCCCGGTGGGACAGCATCTGCGCCATGACCGCCGCAAGGGTGCTCGTGGTCTTGCACATCAGCGGCGTGCTCCTGCCACGGTGGTACGCACTCCGTGTCCGCCACGCTGACATCTGGCTAGCCTGGGTGTTGTTAAGGAACCCGATGCTCCTGCTGCTGAACTTCTTCGCCCTTGGCGAGCGCCCAGGACTGATCTCCTCCACTGGTGACGATGGGCTGATGGGAGGCTCTGGGAAGACTGAGATGGGCATCGACCCATTCTCATCGGCACCAATGACGAACTGCCCAGCCGACAGGTTTGCCAGTGCCCATGCAGCTGAAACATAGTCACATTTCCACAGCTTGTAAGTAGAGATGTCTCCTAGTATCTTACGAGTTCCATCTGGCGTTGTCTCCACAACAGCAACGGCGCATGGGTCTTGAGGGATCTTCTGAATTGCTTCCATGGCAGGCGCAGATGCTTCCACGAAACTGTACTGCGGATTGATGGCTCCAAGGGAAGATATCTGAGTCAGCGGGATGGGAGCAAGAGCACCAAGGCATCCAATGAGAAACCGGAGAACATCTTCCCTTGATAGGCAGCAAAACTTGTCTGCAGAACCAGAAGGCGGGGATAGCGGCATGCTGCTGCTGCTGGCTGCATTTGGAGATGTTGATTCCATGTTCTTCAGCCATTTGCCATTATAAAGCACTGAAAATCTCTTGGTAATGCCTTTCCAGCTCCCACTCTTGCGAACAAGGAAGCGCTTCACTCCATGCCTCATCAGCTCCAGAGCATCGATCAACCTTGGAAAACAAAAGGAAACATACTTGAGTAATATGTACTATATATGCCATAGTACATTCGAAAAGGATGTACTTCCTAGGAAAGTAAAAGACCAATGATGCAGATTCATAAGATGTAATATTCTCTACAACAGATAAAACATCACAAGAAATGCAGTCCCTGGCTCGTTTTCTTTATTTTTTGTATATGAATTCGGTTACTTGTGGAACATAAGCTTTGGAGCAGGCAATCCTCTCTTTTTTAACGAGGTGGAGCAGGCAATCTTTGGACTGCCTTGCATTTGGCATGGACTCACTAGTGAGCTCATGAATTCAAGTAGCCATCCTATACAATCCTAATCCTGTAACAGAACGTACAGCCTGCTCATGATTGTTACCTTCCTGTTTCTGACATTACATTGTGAAATGGAATCATGTCCCCACTTTGTTTCTTTCTAGGGAATAAAATCAGAAAGACAAGTTCTGTGCCATGTGAAACCCCATGTGGTTGCATGAGTGAAAATGCCAAATAACTGGAACTGTTCACATCATTTACAATATGAAACTGCTGTTTTCTGTTTCGTGAAGAAAACTTTGTACAGCTCAGTACCAGAAAAATTAGGGTCTGTTATTATAATGAATGAACTTCCACCCACATTTGTAGCTAGTAACATAATATCAGAGTCTTTCGCAGAAAATTAAACTACAATCAACAAATTAGAGATAAATATTTGTGAGGCTAACAATTGAAGGTTTTTGCTTACTGATATTGTGTCATTCAGTTGCTGGTTTGTTCTGAAGGTAGAGGTTCAGAAATCAGAAGTAATCAAGTAATAAAATTCAAACTATGTCACCTCAATTTACCAGTGCAAAAAGTTGGATACGTGAGAGGACAAATGGAGCTATGGAAGTTCACACAGTTTGTTCCAAAGATACAGGTTCAGAAGTTGATTCAAGACATGCCATCTCAATCTACCAGTGCAAGAAGTATAATACATGTGAACACAAATGGAACTATGGAAGTTCACACTTCGAGCGAGGAAGAATTCCTACTACAATGTCTTTCACAATTTGGCTAAGACATATCCCCTCCATCTCAAAATAGCCGTAGTCGATTTTTAAGGATTTTTAAGATGGATTTGTTCAATGGAAATTACCAATGTACCCTATTTATTGAAGGTGAACCACGCTAATTAAAAGGAATGTATGGAGGCATGCAGGCCGCAATCTCAAGATGATATGGGCCCAACCTAGTGTCCAAGAGCTAAAACATCAAGTTTTCTGGGACTGGGACGATTTTTTAATCCAAAATATCAAGTTTTCAGGGCGGAGGGAGTAGATCATAAATATTCATTAGAAATGGTAGAGATAGCAACACCGTCCTGGAAGAGAATGGAACTAACAAACTATATCGGATTTTCCCATGTATAATCCTGGAAAGCTTTCAAATATGAAGAAATAAAGATCACCTAACAAACAAGGCATCTTTATATGGTCTATCTATGAACAATATATTTTCATGATGGACTTAATAATCCTTTTGGTGAACGAACACTTCTACATTACATTCATAGCCGTATTAAGGTAGCCACTTGCCTTTCAAGGAAAGCTACAGTCATATGTGTAGGCAGGGCTACACCAAAAGAAATTCTAGTTTGCTACGTCTACTCCATACAAAAGTTCCATCCAACTCTTCTCATAAATAGTGCTAGTAACAAATTTTGATGATGATTTAAATCTTTTCTATTTAAGGTTGTTCTTTATTACAGTGACAATTTATCAAATCTACATACAAAACAAAATTGAAGAATGGCTAAGGAACCTCTAGATCCATATTGATTCGTAAATATCAATCATAAACTAATAAGATCAAAGCTAAAGCAAAATGAAAGGGGTATTCTACTCTCTGTCCAAGCGATGCCGAATCAGCATTCTTGAATGCTGCCACAAAATCAAACATGATCAGTTATGTATGCAAACACAGACTGCATGATAAATATCATGTGGGCAACTTCATTCCCATCCTATCCATGACAACAAGAACAAGGTATAGACAGGTTTGGTAGACAATTAGCATTTGCATTGTACAAGAGCAACCTGACAACCCAATCACTGGAGTAATTTAACCATAAATCCATTTCATCTCTAAAAAAATCAGACGGGTGTAGGAACAACCTTTTGCACGCATCTTTCTGCAGAGGTCAAACTAATAGTATGATTCAGAAAAGACAAAGATCAACCACCACCAGACCACGTTAAAAAAAGGCTAACGCAGCAGGAGTAAAAAGCAGTGGTTGATCCAGCTTCCAGCAAAGCAGGAGACGCGGTAAATAAACTAGAAGAGTGTATCGCCGTCACATACAAAACGTGAACTTGTTCGGTTGCACTACCTGAACGCAATTCTCCACTCTGCTTGCGGATCAACGGTGAGAAATGGAATCGCACACACGTTAAGTAAGATAAGATCCTTTCAACGCTTGACACACGTACGATTCGATCCCATCTTTGGTAACGGATGGATGAGTGAGTCATCAGTGGAAGCAGGCACTAGAAACCAAGCGAGTCGGTAACGCTACAGGACAGCAGGCAGACAGGATCGTGCATCAACCAACGCACGACGGGATCAAGCAGAGACGGTCTCACCTGGTACCCGGATCGATCTCCCTGAGCAGCGCGGGATTGGGCTGCACGACCTCGCCGACGACGGCGCGCATGGCGCGGTCCCCGACCCCCGCGGCGGCGACGAAGGCGGCGATGTCGAGCGCGGAGATCATGCCGATGAACCTGGCCCCGGAGGGTGGGTCGTCGGGCGCGGCCCTGGGGCGCCAGACGGGCACGGCGCCCTCGGGGCTGGCGGCGATGGCGCGCGCGGCGTCGTCGAGCGTGTCGGTGTCGTGCAGTTCGGCGACCTCGGGCTTGCCGACGGTGAGGTCGCCGACGACGTGGTGGAAGAAGACGGCGGCCATAGTGGGGCGGGGGACGGGGGGAGGCTGGAGGCTATAAGAGCGAGTGGAGGAGGAGCAGGTGGAGCAGCAGGCTGGAGGGGCCGAGGCCGAGCCCGCCCCCGGCGGAGAAGAAGGCGGAGGAGGAGGAGGCGGCGGCGGCGGGGCGGTCACCGGCGGCGCGGGTGCGGGGATCGCCGGCCATTTCGGTGGGAGGGAAAGCCCATTAAAAGCCGGAGCAGGGGGGGAATTGCGGGCGGCGGAGTCTGACGAGCGCTGCTGCGGAAGGCTAGGCTCTCCTTCTGATGAGCGAGCGACGGGCGGGGGCGAACGGGCGATCCCAGGGAGCGAGACGAGAGAAACACGGCCGCGAGCGTCGCGGAGGTGTGGTAGGGGGTCCCGCGGGGAAGAAGCTGGCAGACAGTGGATGGGCAGCTAATGCGGGGGTGCTTAAGCTTAAATTGGGCCTCCCGCGCTTTAAGATTCGTGCTGATGCTGTTTCTGGCTGGAAGCATTTTTTTTATTTGCTTAATTAACGAGTTTAACGATGATGATTGGCTACAAATTTCATACTACAGACAGCACGGTTCTAGAGCTTTCGCTATCCCTGCAGCGCGAATTTGTTGTACGTTTCTACTAAACTCCAATCATTACAGTTTCGTCGTTACGTTGATCCGAGACTCGCTCTTTGTCATTGCTGTCGTCTAGGCTTCTTTATCTAACTCTTTTTTTAATGACGTCAAATAATGCTTCAGATATCGAAAATGACTATCTTTTTCTTTTCTTTTTCTTTTCTTTTTCTTTGAAGATTTAACGATCGGCCGACATGATGACAGAGTGTTTATAATGGTAAGGAGAAATCGGAGTGTGATTAATTCGAGGATCGGATCTGGAATGGAGCTAAGGCAAGGTAGCACGATTTGTGTACAACAAAATGCATGTTACTACTGCCCTGTATGTCGTTAGGTCAGTTTTAATGAGGTTTTATAAGAGTTCATGGATATTAAATATGCTAATAATGTTCCAACACATGGACGGCATGTTCGCTGATTGGTTTCTGGGCTGGTTTGGGCTGGCTGGTGCTGGTTTATTGTGAGAGAAAAACACTGTTGGCTGGCTGGTTTGGGCTGGTTGAAACCAACAAGCGAACAGGGCGGGAGTCTTAAAAATCGTGACTTGAAACCACCATATACCGGTTTACGCATAACATATGGCCACTCATATTGACCCCGTTCGCTTGTTTGAAAAAAGAAGCCAAAATACTGTAGCGGCTGGTTGTTGTGAGGGAGAAACAATGTAGCGCTGGAAGATGCACTGTAGCGTGTGAGAGGGAGCAGCCGGCTAGTCTGATTTTTCCATACCAACAAACGCGCCCATTGAGTACCTCGACCTCTGCCAAGAGATACAATTCAAGTTTTGATTGAAATCAAACTATCTTAAATTTAATTAAATTTATAAGAAAAAAAATATACGTGACAAATGTTTTTAATCCGTTTGACATAACACTATTCTAAAACCTACATCCATTTCACGAAGAAGGGAGTGCATTTTCACGTCAGGTCGATGAATTTACTTGCCAAATCTGTAGTCTTCCTATATATGCTGTCTCCGTGAGCCCATCCACGCCTCGATTTAGGTCAGAGCTGCGAACTAGTCGGAAAATGATTTAGAATCTCCAGTTTAGAGCTCCGTATGTGTGAAAGCCGACTAGCCCGTACACATAATTCCGTATATCCTATGTATCCGACTCGTCATGAACAAAAACAATTCCCCAACCAGAAGATCCAACTGATCCGGGGAAAACGACCTCTAGTTTGCACATCGACGGTCTGCAAAGGGAACACGCGTTCCATACATTCTCGTCGTCTTCTCTCCATGGCCAGAAAATAAAACAAAACGTAACTATGATCCAGGGAAATTCGCAGCTAATCTCATCCAGACATCCAGTCGCCTTCCCATAGGATCGCAACCCGGCCGCAAGGTCCAAACCTTATCCTTTGGCCGATCACAGTCACAGGTGACAACAATGCAGGACGTACGGTACGGGACGGACAGCGGCGTTCGCGCAGCGCCTCGGTCTGCTTTGGTTTCGTCCAAAAAAAAAATTTCATCCCCAAAATTACTCGAGGCTCAATTTCATTTATAAAATTTCAAAACGGCCGTCTAGATCTTAAACTTTAGTTTTAGGCTTAATTTTATCCTGCAACTATGAAGATGATGGTTTCGGTCCTCAAATTTTGCATTTTAGACTCAATTTCATCCATAAACTATTAAAGTGCATTAAACTTTTATTTCCAACTCAATTTTATCTATTCAAAAAGAAAACTTTATATTTTAGACGTAATTTCATTCATAAATTATCAAAATTATAGATCTGCTATTGTTTTAATATATCCATATATTCTTAAAGAATAAGTAGCGTTCGATGCAACTGTAGTTGCTCCCACAAATATCATTTAGTCAGATATATATAAATGGTAGCATCATAAGGTAACACTAAAAATAACAACATGGAATTATTAATGGACACAAAAGAGTTTTTGGATGAATATTATTTTTCTATCTCCAGTCGCTGGTGGTGTTGGAGCTAACCAGATGCAACAGTGCAGCGTTCTACGTAGAACTTAGACAAAGTTGAGTTGAAAATAAAAGTTTAAAGAACAAAATTCACGTTAGTAGTTTATAAATGAAATTGAACCCAAAATACAAAGTTTGAGGACTAAAACGATCATCTTCATAGTTCTAGGATAAAATTAAGTCTAAAAATAGAGTTCGATGATTAAAACAGCCGTTTTAAAAGTTTATGAATGAAACTGAGCCTTGAGTAATAATCAAGAAAAAAAAATGACTATTCTGCCAAAAATAAACGGACTATGGATGGATTCGCGCAATCATGCACGAGCCGTGTGCGGGGGGCGGGTTTCCTGCGGGAGCCGGGAGCCGGGAGCTGCCTCGCGGAGCACCGAAAGGGCTTTTTTCGGCCGGCGGTGCTGACTTGTCAGTTGTCTTGGACATCCGGAGCCCCGGAGGATATAGGGGGCCAACCGGAACTCCGGCAACCATCGTGGCATTATGGTCTTGTTCGCCAGAAAGGAACAGGGAGGTCATGGCGTTTGTTTTCTTATGGTGTACAGTACCGTACGTGCTACCTGTCTAACCTCACCTCACCTGAATCTGAATGCATGGGTTTGTGATCTGGATGGAGGCCACGCGTCGGTGCGGTTTCCGTGAGACGGCAGGCAGCATGAGCAGGCAGGAGGGCAGCGATGGACGCGGAATGGAGTGCGAGTCGTGTGACCTGTATATGTGGTTCCGTGGTGGTGTACCTGGGACGGATGATCGCCGTCAATCGAATCCAGGTCGCTGTGCCCGGAGCACCCAGAGGCCAGAGTCCGGAGATCTAGCAGCCTCTTCGGGAGTTCATATCGTATCGTGGATTATTTACTACTAGCTGGTTTGATATGAGAGAAAAATACTATTTATAATTGAAAATTTATGATCGTTTACCAGCGAGCTAACACGCTGCTAGAAATCGGCAGGTAGGAATAGACAGGTAGTGGCTGTGGACGCACCATGGCGCTTGGGATTCGCGGTCAATCGGATTCTTCCGGAACGCGAGCGGCGACGGCCAGCACACAACCAAAAGCGTACGTGGCCGGGCAACGGCGCGTGAACCGCGGCGCAGCGGGCACGCAGACTCCACATGAGGCCAGTCCAGCTCCAGCAGCGCCGGGCGGGAACGGGTGCGTGGCCTGCCGCCCGCGGGCCGCGGCAGCGCTGGAACGGGCTGGTCGTTGGACGGCCCATGCTCTAACCACGGAGCGCTGTGGGCCTCGTGCAGTCAATATGACCGTAACGCGAAACCGAAAGCCCATGAGGACCTCACACAGACGCTTCATTGGGCTGGGCTCCGCTTCCGGACCGGATATACACCCCGCTGCTCTGCAGGCTGCAGTTACGCGGCCAATTATAACAGCCAACTAGTAAGCTCTTCTATGATCAGGAATCCAAACTAATCATCCCTTCCTCTTTCTTTTTTTCTTTCTTTCTTTCTTTCTTTCTTTCTTTCTTATTATATTATATCCTCTTCCCTTTCTCTCTATCTTCCCACACCTGTATTTGTCTACCCTGCCTACTTTCTCTTGCATGCATGGGCAAAAAATAATCAACTATGTTCTTAAATTAGCCTAGAATAACATAAGGCTTATACTCTCTCCGTCTCAAAACAAATCAACTACTAGTGTCAGTGGGTCACTCTAAGTTAAACTATGTTAAGTTTGACTAATTTTATAAAGAAGAGTAATAACATTCTAATAATTTACATTTTATGACGTATCTAGTGCTGATACTAATTTGGTGGTATAAATATTGGTGCTCTTCGTTATATTAGTCTCGAACATAACAAAGCGCATGTTAATTAGAGCTCTTGCTACAGCTGCCTATACATGTGCGTCCCCGCTTAGCTTCTTGCTTCTCTGTTCTCCCCTCCAGGCTATAAACTCAGGTAGCAACTTGTAGCTTTTGCTCTTAAAGAAACTCAGCTGGTCACTGCTGTCAACTCCTGGGGACGTGAGCATAGGAGTCGGAGATTTTTCTTGGCCGAAAGGGGTCCCTCAGCTCCTTCTCTTCCCTGACGCGGAGGTTGTTATTCACCATCACTCATGCAGATGCAGGGCTCGAAAGAGGGGGAAAAATCGGTACGGATGGTCCGCATCAAAACACGGTGGGATGTGCAGCTGACGCGTAGACCATGGTGCATCTAATTTACCATGCTTATGGTCAAAATGATAAGGTGACCCACGTATCAGTTGAGTAGTCCGCACCACGGCCTGTTAGAAATGATCCTTACTGAATTTTTTTTCCTTCAAAAGGACGATTGGTCTTCAAATCCATGCCTGACGCAGAATATACAGCAGAAGATACATATGGACGAACGAAACGAAGCAGAGCGAGGTCGTTTTCCATGGTTCTAATAATTAACCCACCTGCCCCGTCGCATCATATCCGGCCTAAACCAGGCCATG